TTGTTAAAAAAAAAAAAAAAAAAACCTGTGAGTAAAATATGAATTATTATGAATATTACGTGATATAATGTAATTTATTAATACATATATGATTTAGCAAACGTAACTCGATGTTATACTGATTTATTTTAATAATCGTTATGAAAGATGATACAGTTTTTAAAAGCAGACGACACACAGTTGGACAAACAACATTGGTAGGTATCTTAATAGTAATAACGAATAAACAATGCATTGTTGATAAAATTTAGAGAAAAAAAAAAAAAAAACTTAAATAATTACTACTGCACCTATAGCACCGAGTTCGTAACCCAACCTTACTATTATAGGTAGGTATAGAAAAACCAAAAAGAGACAGAATGTTTCCGAAAACCAGGGGTACGTGATAATAATTTTAATTTTCGTCTCAAATAATACAACAATTTCGAAAATATAACGACAATATTATTATTGTTTTACACAATTTTACAACAATACCTACGCAAATTGCAAGTATTTATTCGATGCGTTTTGAAACTGTTAACAATTTCCTATACCAAACGTATAGGTACTTAATAGAGTTGAGCGTTGGTTTTTAAAATTTGTATTTGTTTAAAAATTTAACTTAGTCGCTTTATGTGGCTTATGTTATTAAAAAAGGAGTGAAGATTTGTATAGAATACCTTCTCTTTTTATTTGAATAAACCTACCAACATCTGAACCTGCGATATTATAACGTATATATATTTTCTTTTTCGTCAAACGTTTTATTTATAATAATTTGATTCATTTTCAAATATTATTACATACGATTAAAATATACAGCCGTCTCTCAGTATTACCCACCCATCTAAATTTCGAACGGACCCTGGACTCTAAAAAAAACATTATCAACATGTCACTGGATGTAGTTACGATTGGCAAATAATAATACGTTTGGCGGATGGAAAGTGTACAAAATATGTGCGTTTGCGATATTTTTACGCATCAGTGGCGGCTTGTGGTGAGTGAAGGTGGCATTCGTTCCCCCTCCCCGTGGGCTTTATAATTGTATGTGTACATTGTTATTTGTTTTTAGTGTTTTTACAATTATTTCGAAATTTCTTTTCATGAAGTATCTATAGTTAATAATATAATAACATGGTCAAATCCATTGATATGAAAATAGTTTTTGTTATCTACGGCCAAACTGACTCATGGTTTCTGATGTTATCATTTCGTTTTGATGGTTCGACCGTGTCTTTTATCATTGATTTCTAGTTACAAAACAAATGTGCCTGGATGCTTATGCAGGCTTAAACTGTTGCATATTTATCAGGAAATAAGTATAACAGCGGATATCATTGAGTAATTCTCTTCTATGATAAATCTGTGGGTAGATTTTGTATTATAAATGTATAACACGCATTATAATATTATATTGAATTGAATAGGTTTCTTATTTTATGTTTTATTCAAGTATAAAAGAGCTCGATTCCCGTGTCTGTTAATAAAATTGTATGCAGCTGTGACGTTACTTTTTTAAAGAATTTTCTATTTTAACTCTATGAGGGGCGGTGATCAGTTTATTAAATGCTTATTTCATAGCAATTACGTGATGGTATTTAGTAGGAATAATCACTTATAAAAGTTTATTTTTTATTTTTTTTGGCGGTGATTAGGTGTTCAGTGTGTCAACTATACAATATTATGTATATATGTTAGCGGTAATGTATGAAACACGTTATTTTATTACAAATAACTAGTTATTCCATAAAATTACTAAATATGCTCGTTAATGTGTGAACTAAACGGTTTTACTAGTTAATTTATAGAGTGCCGATTGGATTTTTGTTAATTTATATAATTTAAGCAATTGTGTACTAATAAATAAAAATCATATGATAATGTAGGGCGTTATATTACCATTTTTTTTTTTTTTTTTAAATTTGTAATTTCTTAATATTTTAATAATTTAATACTTCTAATAAGTTGACGTTGTACAAATCAGCATAAACTTTTTCAAAGTGAATATTAATATTTTATGAGTGGATGTAATAATAATTTTACATACATTAACTAAATCGTTATTGTAAGTTTACAAAATATCTACTTAGTATGTAGAACAACAAGTTGAAGTAGCTATATATTTTTGTATTCATTCAATACATTAACTGTAAATCTATACATTGTCCGTTCTTCTTCATTCGGAACTCAATACATTAACGCTAACAAATATACAATTAAAGCGTGCTGTTGTTTGTTTTTTTTTTTTGTTTTGACCCTATGTTAAGAGCATATTTTGCTATTTTTTGTGAACACCTGCATGCTATGTATTTAATGTTTTTTAGAGCATATAAATTTAATATATAAAGGTCCAAGATATAAATGTAATAGATGATGGACAAATTTATTGCGTTTTCATGTTAGTGATTTCAGATACATTATCATAATGTGAATTGTATTATGGAAGTCGTACACGAAACATGATCGTCCGAATGAAAAAATAGACCATCGAAAAATACTGTATGTTAAAAGCGATAATGAATATTTTTTTATAATAATAATATTAAATGTGCCTTTTATTTAATTTATAGAATTATTCAATAGTAAAATTTAAATATTAGAACAGTAATACGGTTCATGTACGTAGCTATGTATACGAAAACGGGAGTTTTTTTTAAATTAAATTAATTTAAGTTGGTTTTCATAGAAAAATTGACGAGCAATCGAATATATTGATTTTTTGGAAATATTTTATCGAAATTACCCTACAGGGTCTATTGTAATTCGATTCCCCTTGCATAACAACAATAATACACATTCGACATTTTCCAGTCAGGGACGAGTCTATATATGATCAAAATTGTGGAAGAAGTGGGTGATTTTTTTGTTTTAAAATTTCCGAGTACAGATTCCATCTCAAAACCGTCATTATTATTACATACAGCTAAATGCCATAAAACTCTATAGTACGACTCGGTGGAGACCTTTTTCTTTTGCTTCTGCGCCCGTGAAATCCGGTGCGCTTCCTTGTTAAAATAGTAATTCACCTACTTTGGAAACTTGCTGATTAAATATAAATAATAATAATATTCACATCACGAGTCTCCATCCTACTACACTATTTTTTAAACATACATATATTATAATATACTAGAAACTTTTAGTATCCAGCGGGGGGGAGGGAAAGCCTCGGACCTTCTTCGTCGTAAAAAAAAAAAATTGTGCTGAAAAGTTTTGAAGACTACATAATAATATATACAAAGTATATAAATAAAAGAAATTGGGCCGAAATGAAAATCGACACAGAGTGAAAAAACTACGAGTAACGAAATAGTGTATAATATATTTAAATTTATAATAAATAAAACGTTCTTCTTAGATACTGAAAAATATTTTTGCAAACTAATTTTTATCGAGTGTTTACGGAGGGGGGAATATAAGATTTGATTAAACGATGACGTTTTATAAAGTAAATCAGAGAGTTACATCGAGCCAAATAAAAATATTTTCGTTATGTCGAACGTAATGGATTGTACCTAATGTCTATATAATATTTGTTTTGTCACGGTTTATGTTTTTTTTTAGATATGTGTAAAGAATCGGTTTAAAAAATTAAAATAATATATGTGATAATAATGATAATAATTATATGTTATAATTTAATAATAATTTGATAATAAAAATCAGAAGAGTATAATTTTAATTTTATAATTATATAATGTATATAAATTTTTTTTTTTTTTTTTGTGCAACGAGAGATATTCTTAGAGTCTGTTGGATTCCTCGGCCATCCCGTTGGCCTGGTAGTCGATGCTACTGTTATCCTGCTTTGAGGAATTCTGGTTAATCCCGCTTCCGCTGTTTAATGCCATTTTTTTCATTTGTCGAACCACAGCCGTTGCGTGGTATGCTTGCTGCAAAAATTAACAACAAAATCAATGAATAATTATTAAATATTTATTATAAAAATACAACATAGTCGTAATGATATTTTTTCTAATATCGAAAACCATATACGTGGTTTTAGGACGAGATGAGATGAGCTATATACACCCTGCATACATGACGAGTATATTTGTAGATAACAATGTCAAAAAATGACGCATTTCTAAAACATTTCTCAAAATAGTACAATCTACTTGCAAAGGCATAATAGGTATAGATTATTTACGGTTCGGGGGGAGGGGGGGAATTATTTGTTTAATAGGAGTGAGTTGAAAAAATAATATTTAACTCCTGTACATGGGTGTCCATATTGGGGGGGGGGAGGGCAAATAATAATATAGTATCCGAAACAAATTCATGTATGCTTTGAATCCAAACAAATAAGTGTAAAATAGGTATTTTATATTATGATTTTTATGCAATGATATTTGTTAACAGCTATTTAAAGTAAAGTGTTATTATTTAAAAATAAATAATCTAATCATCTATTTAAATGTACAATGTAAACTATAAACAGTACAATATTATAACGTCTTGATTGAACGTCGGCATTTAATAGTTTTTTTAAAGCTAATTTTTACATAATTACCTACCCTTTCTTCCTCATAGCTTTTCAAGAAATACCAACCCAGTATTTATACGCTATAAACAGGTTAGCGAATCTAGTATTATTTTGTCTCCCATCTGAAAATTACCCATTGGGAATCATTGCTCTTGTATTAATTTCGAAATGGTGGGTATTCCCACCTTAACTACGTCCCTGCAGTCTACGTAATTTTAATACGCGGTGCATTTCAAATGTTTTAGTAGTCGTCTTCTAACGTCACAGAATGTTATTTATGGTCAATTACCCAAAATTAAAATTCTAACAACATTTAGAACTTAATTTACATCGATAAAGAAAACAGAATTATTATTATATAATTTTATAATTATAAAGTCAAGTTCAGTCGCATAGTAGGTATCCACAGCAACAAGTTTTTAACTTATATAATATACACATATGTATTTAACTTATAAGGATGTAGGACCCGTTGGCATATGCGTGGAAAGACGTTGCTGAAATGTCCTAGAAGTCTTAATAAAATTATAATAACTTTAGATGTTTTGATTAATGACGTTAACCCGTATACACGTGAATTTACAACTATCTGTAATAATACATGATTGTATTTTAACTAAGGTATAAGGCTTAACGAGTGATCGGGGAAACTTTTAAAATGTCATTTCAATTAGTGTTCTATCCGAGGGAGTCTAAAGAATCTGACCCTCAGTCCCTTTGGAAATTTATTTTTTTTTATACACTAAAAATAAGAGAATACTCGTTCGAAATTTTGAAGTTCATGATTTTATAGGAATAGATTTTAATCTCGTAAAACGTACCTATTTATATTCGTGAAATATCTAGGGAACGCTTATAATGATAAATTGTATAACGATGTCATCACCATGGATAAAATAGATAATTGCGACCTACACGGATTGCTGGGTAATTGATATGAATATTATTACTCTATAAATTATAACAATATATCATAGGGTGGTCCATTAAGACTAGTAATATTATTATTCTATGAGGTAGTATTGTGCAACTACTATAATACAGCGACTACTGTATTATAGTAGTTGCATGTTATTGGTATTATCACTGTGCGTATTATTTATGCAATTTAAAAAAAACATAAATAACAATCTAGGTTAAAAAAAAAATGTAGGTATTTCCATAGCGTACCCATCAATATTCGGGTAAACATGCCTATATCCGTCGGATTGATTTTTGCGGGTAAGTGTGTATGTGTATGTGTGTGTGTGTGTGTGTGTGTGTGTGTATGTGTGTGTGTGGGTTGGGGGGAAGTGTAATACTTTTCGATCATCAAACGTAAAAACCATAATTATTTTTGTGGCGGATTACCGCTGTGGAAATTTACTTGTACGGTAAATAATATTATAGTACGATGTAGACGAAATGAGATTTCTGCAGAAATCCGGAGCCCGGACTCGGTTAGGTTAGGTTAAGTCTCTGTCAGTGCCAGATTCGGCCGGTTCGTCGCAGACGATGATTTACGACGATTATCTACCTATATGGTACATACATGTGTATGTATATAGTAATAAAGTCACAGCGTAATATTCTACGTGAGCCCATAGTATTATTATACGAATTGCGGTCGTGTTGCGCTGTCTTGACTGCAAATTTACATACTACAGATGTTGTTATACAGTCGTAACGTTCTGAAATTATATGTTATTTACCACCGTTATGGCGTTATTGTGTATAGGCGATTTGCCACCCACAAGAAAGAACTTCGCCACGCAAAGTTTTAATTCTGTTTATTAATCTTTTAGCCGGTGAATTTCGCACGACAATTCGACGGACACAAATTGAGACGTAGCGCAGCACAGCGCAGTTTTTTGTGATCTACTTGTTTGAACTTATACGAGCGTAAACTGAGAAGCAAGGTAGTGCAGTATTGCTCCTACGTCAGCTTCATCGCGCAGTATTTACGACACGGTGTCCTGCGAATGCGTGACATAGTTTTCCAACGCCACGTGCTGTTAAATCTATTAATTCGTTAGCCGTCATGTAGATATCGAATGTTTTCATCGAATGAATACACGAAATTACGTTTTAATATTCGTTCACACGGGTCACGCAGTTATATTCTACGATGACCTGCGCTGATCTTTGCTAATGTGTTTTCAATTTATTGAACGACGAAGACGCAGACAATTGTAGAGAATTAGAAACTGACAGTGACCATCGTGATGTAAATATTGAAAACGATAATTTTAACAGAGATTTAGAATAGAATATTTCGGATGAAGAAGTAGAAGAAATGTACACGAATGAACTATATTATGTCAGAAAAGAAAATACTATAGTAAATGGCGTTAAACTGAGTTCACCTGTCAGTCGAAAACTAAAAACATAATATAATAAAAACTCACCCTCTCATTCTAAAAATAATGTAAGTGCCACGAATTATTTCGTGAAAATAATTAATTTGGATATGGTAGAAGAAATCATAAAATATACCAATAAGTATAATGTACCTATATAAATGATAAAAAACAACGCATAATTATTCAGGGGACGGAGACTGCAAGGATACATAATAGAGAATTGAAAAATTAGCCTATTTTGGATTGTTATACCTAATAGGAATCAAAATAGGACACCATACGAATATTTTGGAATTATGGGCTACCGATGGGACAGGGTTTAAAATTACCAGAGCGGTTATGAGTTACAAGTGATTTTTATTTATAACACGTTGTTTATAATTTAATGACCGATCAAATAGATAGTTGACAAACGTAAATTTGACAAATTATTAGTTCTTCGTTTATTTTTGGATTCTTTTGTAAACAATTGCAGGGCTGCTTATAAAATGAATGAATTTACTACAATAGACGAAATACTTCATTCTGCAGTCGATGTCAGTTGATCCAATATATATATATATCAAGATAACCAGCAAAGTATAGTATAAAAATGTATGCGTTATGTGATGCACGAACATTTTTTATTCAGCAAACTTGGAAGTTTATTGCAGTAAACGGCCAGACGGGCTATATTGCAATTCAAATACACCAACGTTTAAAAAGGTTGTAAAAAAGGTTGATTACGGATATTGAAAAGTCTAATAGGTATCTGACCACATAATTACTATACGAGCATTCTTTTGGCCGATTATTTGCTACAAAAACAAATAACTTTTGTCGGTACAGTAAAAAAAAAAACAAGAGAGAGATTCCTCCAGAGTTTCTTCCTAATAAGTACAAAGTTGTGTCAAATATATTTGGTTTTAAAAGAGATAAAATGCTCAATTCTTACGTTCTTCGTAAAAATAAAACAGTTTATTACTCTTCACAATACACGACAAAGGAATCTATGATAACTTTAATAAAAAATTAGGAATAATCATGTACTAAAATTTATAATACAAAAATTGGTGTAGACACTGTCGATAAAATGTGTGCTACTTATACACTTTATACAGAATTACGAAACGACGGCCTTTTGTAATTTTTTTTATAGTTCAAATGAATATTTCCGGAATAAATAATTAAATAAGACTATAATAATCAACTTAAAACATAAGCAAATAACCTAATTAAATTACTTGACCTAACCTGCCACTGTAGATTACAGCGACAGAAGCATACACATTTTAAGTTATGAATTTAAAATAAATTTCTAGCCAGGTTTTCGGGATAATAAATTACTAAATAGGTGACATTTATCCTCACTCCCGTGGTTGCTCCATTAAAGAGTACTTATCTTTTCCCGTTTGCCGTCAATTCGTTTTTGAAAAAATGCCACGAATAGGCAATATACAAACAATAAGTCTCGTGCACTCTAGGAGCCAGGGACTATAATAATATTGTAAATTGATCTGGAAGCGAATTTAAATATTTTCAAGTTGTTAAATAGCGATGTTCATTTTTTCGAGAAATATTCATCAAAATCGCTTGTACACAACCAATTCAATTTACCTAATGCGCGAATATAAATACAATAATATTATCAAAAAGGTTTTCATGTGTGTAGAAAAAACTAAAGTCCTTCCCGGAAATCTCGAGTCACGATATGTTATTGTTTAGATCGACTATCCGCAGATATTAGTGCACACGCCGTATTCATGTTTTTATTTTTTAATTATTCTTTTCCGAATAGTTTGGACGTCGACTCGATTACTCATTGAACTCGCGCGGGAGAACTAAATTTCCGACATACCGCTCGCGCCCCGCTAATTTCGTAAAGTTTTCGGCTGTCGGTCCCACGGAATTCGGTCAAGACCGTACTATATAATATATTATATGCACATGAATATCCATCACGCTCGAGGACCCCGGGGAGAAACTCGCGTTTTCACCGAGAGAATATAAAATATTTCGACCGAAATGTCAGTACTCATCATTCGGATTTTGAGCCGAACGAAAAAACTTGCAAAAGATGAAGCGGATGGCGTAATTAGGGATATTATTTCCAGAGAATGTACATTTTTTTGTAACTTTCATATTATATATTATTTCACGAAATAAATTTTGGGCGGAAAGTTTGGAAGATAGGCCATAGGCAAAATGTATTTAGTTTAATCACTGTAAACAGTGTAAGTAACGATAAATCATTGCAAGCAGGAGAACGATTCTGAGTGGAGCTCGGTGAGTCAAACATTTCCAATTGTTTTCCTATTTTACTCATGTAATAACTAAACAATTATCTCCTTAAAGTACTATCTCAGTAAGATTTCATTACAGAAAAAGTACTACACTTGAAAATCGGTGCGAAATTTCTGGTAGAAAAGTTTTTCATATAAAAAATAAAACATCATTGTAAAACTAATACATCCCTCGCTGCACTCAGAATCTAAACGGGACAATTTGTTTATATAACTGCGTATTTATTTGGAACATTTTTTTCCATATTTTTTCTCTAGTACCAATACTAATATAATTTTAAAAAAATCAAATCTCGAAAATATTGTAAAGAAAAAGAAGTTATTATTACTGAAAAAGTATACGTAGTGAAACACACTCTATATTCGTCCTGATGTGGGGACCTTACGATAAATTTCCTGTTGAAAAAAAGCAATACTGGTTTTTTACTTTATTGGTTTTTTAAAATTGTTTTTAAAGTACCTACGGGGATTTTTTCCGTCCCTTCAATAAAATATAGATATGAATGTTTAAAAAAGAGTTGATACATAGGAACGGGTTTAGCCACTGTTGTAGGTGGGTAGTGGGGAAGATAGGAGACTTACAGATAATTTATTTATACCAACAATAAACCATTGATAACGAAAAACGATTCGGACCGAAGTTCGGTTACACATGTTGTGAAAGGCCGTAATATTTACGATTTTTGTTAAAATTTGATTTAAAAAAAAAAGGAAATAATTTATCTACAGAGTACAGACCAAATGAAAATTACCTATGTAAAAAACTATACAAATAACTCAAAAATTGCTCAAATATTCTCAAAGATTTACCACGCCTAGAGAAAGTAAATATAAGTTCTCTGTCAACATTTTAGGTCTCTACGAATATATATTTTTACTAAATTACATTAAAACAACAAAATTTAATTTTAAATTTTCTCGTTCCTTCTATATATTTTTCGGTTTTACTTGATTATTAAAAAAAAACTTGCTTAGTCACTAACTAGATTAAAAATTCAACAAAAAAGGTCACCTATTGGAGCAATATTTATGGTAGAAAACATAAGCCGTACAAATGTAGAGTAATGTACTTGTGCCATAATTTGAAAAAAAAAATCGTATATTTTGTATTTTTTGGTTTTTCCTAATTATTATGAAAAAGACGTTCTAATATAATGAGATTTGGTGCAGTCACTGTTATAAGTAATTTAATGTACACCTATAAGCAACGATAAACCATTGCTAACGGAAAAACGATTCTGAGCGGAATTCAATTGATAGTGCTGCTTTGTTAATTATATATATGTCATATTATGGTAAAATTCCAATTATTCTAATTCTAAAATTAAAATGAATCTCGTTTTGTCTACAATTTTTTCGGTTTTCCCATGTTTTTCCTGATTTTTCACATTTTCTAGGAAAACTCTTGAGAAAATTATAAAAATGGCTTCCCTAAAATACCTCTCCAGTGAAATTGCCTTTTAGAAAAATTTCTATCATTATAAATTGGAGCAAAATACTAGTAGAAAAGTTGTCTACAGAAAAAAAATCGTAATATTCTACTAATACATTTTCGTATATTTTCCCGATTTTCCTCTGTTTTTTTTTTCGGTTTTTCACATTTGATGAGGAAACTTTTGAGAAAATCGAAAAATAATCTCCTTATAGCACCTCTTTAAATCAGTTTTCTTTCAGGAAAGGTGCTACACTTGAAAATTGGAGCAAGACCTCTAGTACAAAAGTGGTCCACAGAAAAAAAAAATATTAAACATATTTGTAAAACCATAAGCTTCTTCGCTCTACTCAGAATCTAAAATACTTTAAATATTAAAAAAAGACTATCTATGTGTTAAAAGGAACAGAATCGATTTCCTGTCATATTTCGATTGGAGTAATATTTTTGGTAGAAAACGTAATTTGAATATAATAAAAATAATGAAAACGGCGGTGCGCCGTAAATATTTGCCGTTTTACCTATAATTTTCTTCGGGGTTGTTTTTAACTATTTCGAAAACCCCTTGTAAAATCAAAATATAACCTCCTCAATGCACAAACTAGAAAAAAAAACACACATATTATAGTAAAATCAATAGATCCCTCGCTACGCTACGATTCTACGAATCTAAAAATAATACAATTCGAGGACAATATAATTTCACCGTACTTATACAGGCTGTCCCATGAATGTATACCTCTTGACTATCTCCGGAGATAATGAAGATAAACAATTTTGATTTTTTTTTATTACTCACAGGGAATAAAAATATTTATATTTAAATTAAATTTTTCTTTTTTAGAAAAATAAACACTATAGATTGGTTATCTTAAAATTTTTACTAAAACAAAAAAAAAATACCTAATTCAATTATATTTATAGTTCTCATCCTGTAAGTAATATAAAAAAAAAAAAAAAAATCATAATTTGATTATCTTTATTATCTCCGGAAATATTCAAGAGGTATATCTTCCTGGGACAAACTGTATAATGTACCTACATATTTATTTTGGTTACAAAAAAAAGAAAAAGAAAAAGATCATTTAAGTTGTGGGTGTTACCGTTTTCGATCGAAAATTCGACATTTTTGTCTTTTCTACCATTCTGCAATGCCCGTTTTCAGCCAGCTAGATCACTATTTTTTGCTATCGACGTGAAAAACAATTTTAATTTTAATTTTAACACAAACAATATGATAACTCCGCATTTTAAAATTGAATACCCTTTTTTATTTGTTTACATCTGGTAGCCAAAAAAAAAATGTATAATAACAGCTGAAAACGTAAATGAGGTTCGTGTTGGCCGAAAATGGTGTCCCGCCCTTCGCGTTCTGTTTTTGAACTCCGATGTCTGGTAAGTACCTATATATTATATTATTTTATAGTATTTAGCTGAAACAAATACTACTTGTGGTATCTATATGTATAATATTACGAGTCTAATCTCACACTATATAATATACAATATTAGGAAAAGGGTATAAAATAATATTTATCTACTATGGTATCACACAAAATGGTTTATTACATAACTTAAATAGGGATAGGTAACACGTCAAGTTAAAAAATGATTAGAGGTGAACGTTGTACTTATACTGATGCACTCGATAAATCTAGGGTGATTTTTTTTTTTTTGTTATCATGATCCAACGATTTTTCTCGGAAGATTTTGAGTTAATTCAATTTCTGTTTTTTTCAGCTATTATATTACTATGGAATTGGTTTATCTTTATTTTAACATTATTTTCTATCAACGTTATCCTACTCCTTGTACCTTGTAATATCTTACAATTGACTTCTTATTTTTAACCTCTCTCGCCTTTTAACACATTTAAGCACAACACTCATACGCGAATAATTTCTGGACAGTGATAATAATAATAAAAAAAATCACCTTGTATTATTATTTTTATTCTAAAATAATCCAAATTAATAATGACGTAATATTATTTTATGGTTCGCTGCCGTTTTAGGCGCGCGGTTAAGTTATTAATCGACGAATTAACGTCAAGTCGGTCGCGGAGTAAACGGAATTATACCAAATATTTGACAAAATAATACTGCGGACATAATAATGACGTGTTTTAATAGAATTATTATGTTACAGCAGCTGATGCGCTCATCCCCTGATATCTCGTTTTATCGTAATTTATTATTTTAATAATTTGCTAAACATTTTGTTCGAAAACGCTCAACGACCAGCCATTATTATTCATAACTAATATTATCGTAATATTTTTCGTATATACAGGGTGTCCGAGGAGGAAGATATACCCATTAATGAAAATAAAAAAGTCGATACATCAAAATTTCCAGAATAATAATAAATTCTATAAAATGACTATCTTCAAATAATATAATAAAAAGTTATTTTTGTAAGTTTTTACCAATACACAAAAATGAATTGAAATATAAATAGCTGTAGTCCCTATCCCAGTAAGTAATATAAAAAAAAAAAACAAAATTTGATTATTTTTATTATCTCCGGAAATGATACAATTGGTATTGCCTTGTTGTACACTCTGTAGAGTCTTTGATGCGTATTAACTTTTCCTACTTGAACAGAGCCACAGATGCAAATGACATTCTCTGATTAGCCTGCAAATATGGTGTTATGTGTTTTAAGGATTTTGGTACTTTAACATACAAATAGACGTTGTGTTCTGATGGGTTCTCAATGGATTGTCGAATCTGACGATCGCCGATCAAATTCTTTTTTCTTTTTGTTTGCTGTTTCGCATAAAACTGTCGGGGTTTTGCGTAGAGACTAATTTGTGGGTTTATGCTTAGGACATTAACATTCTCGGTGTAGTATTATGTTCGGACCTACGTATAACGGTGAAAAATACGCATTAGCAGACATGCAGTATTATTTTATCGATATTATGAATTTTCGACGTGTAACCGAGGACTCAATTTGATAATTCCATGTTGCTCGTTTCAAGTGGAGAACGTTAAGGCATGTCTTAGATCTTGTTAAATTTGATTAAGGTGACATTTTAAATTTAAGCGTATACATTATAAAAGGTAATCAGTCAGAAGAAGAAGAAGAAGAAGAAGAAGAAGAAGAAGAAAACAAATTAATAACATAAAACCGCGTTGTATGTTAGAGTTTTCGTCAACACTGGACCCGGCGGTTAACTTGAGCGCGAAAGTAATAACATTTTAATTTTTTGAAAGTTTGATTTGCTGCGTTCTCATTGTCGTCGCGAATTTACATAGCGTACGTTCTTCATAACCGATTGCGTATTTTTAACGAAACGAAAAAAAAACTGGTGGATAGTAACATGTAAAACTGTATAATATTTTGATTGACGATAACAATATTACAAATTGTGTAGTATAAAACAGTTGTCAACGCGTGGTTTGGACATAGACAGGTATACATTGGCGGGTAGCTCTTTTATACTATAGTAGTTTACGTGTTATTATATTATTTAAAACGGAAAATAATAGAGGTGAGAAGTACAAAGAAGAAAATATGTCAAGAAAGTGCGAAAAGTGTGTATGTTCTTTAGGTTGGCATGCACGAAGAGTTTAAAAATATAAAACAAGTTATTAAAAAAAAAAAAAACAAAAGAAAAATCGTTTGTTCTCCGAAAGTCAATGACGAAAAAAAAAACGGTAAAATTCGCGATCGTAATAATAATAAAATATAGAGTAAAATATTTTCTCGGCGTGTTATGAAAAAAAGCAGAGCAGTTTTCCCCTTGATCAGTGTATTTTTTTTTTGTAGGTAGCTAAATCGTAGAACCGCGAAATTCAAACTTTAAGTATATTTTTGTTCATACAGCCCGTCACAAATAATATTATATGAACATCTCAATAATATTTTCGAAGCGACTTTAACACATGTTGTCCACTGCTTAAATCGTCTCTATGTCCGATATATCCGGGCATATTTTCGGCATGGTAAAATTACACTTTTTACCTGAATTAAATGGTCAAACATCACTCTGGTAAACATTTCTCAATTACCTTTCCACTTACAGTTTTAGAGCAGAAAATGATTTAAATGATTTATTGGCGTGTTTAAAAATATGGCTTTTTTTTAAAATAAATATATGCAATTTATTATATAATCAGAAAACGTTTTTTGATTTTGTCAAATTATTACCGTTATTATTAGAAATTATTTTTGTAGTAATTATAAGAAACTTCATTCTGACGATTGATTTTTGAACGTATAAGGTTTTGTTTCTATTTCACATAAATATTAAAAACCGATTATTAATTAGATACGACTACGAGTGTAACCGTATATAACATGATATAAAAACGAATTTTTAATTCCGACAATTAACAAATTGTAAGTGAGATTAAAGTGCTATTAAAACTTTTAAACTAAGTTTATTTTCGAATATTTTTGTTGTAACACCTTTCTTAACCATAGTACCGTTTGATCATAACCTGTTTTTGACTCGCGTGCTGTCCGATCAATACCTTTTTTTTAAACCTAAGTGCAATTTGATCTTCTGCAATATTTTAAGAAGTTTTTTTATAGGTGACACTATCACGGGCATAGTCAGATAATTTTCAAAAACTCTTGTATCTTGAAATTTATTTCGTGGAGGAGGCAGACGATATATTTTTTCGCTTCATAAAAAACGATCTGTGCGCGATTCATAGCCGATTGCACGCAGAAGTTTGCGAATTTACATACAAAAGTGGATGACATTTTAAATGTTCGATATTTTCGAAATTCAACCCCCAAAAGAGGGTGCTTAGGGTTACTTCGTACATGATGAGGAACGTAAAACGAATTTTCTTTTTGTTGAATCGTGAATTACATTTTGATAACATGTGGCAGGCACGTCACATAATAGAAGCGTTTGTTACCCAAATTCATGATGGTTAAACGAAAAGAAAGAAACCCATGAAATAAAAATGAAGTCGAAAGAAATTTAATTTAACGTGTCACCCGTGTGAAATGAAACTTTTTTATTGATTTCAGTTTTTCAACGGATTTTTTCGTAAAAACTCTGTTCTTTTGAATGAATGAACAGAAAAAAAAAAGAGGATATTGGCAGCTATAAAATACATATGCATGTAACCATAATATAGTTTATTAAACTACGTGTATTTTTGTATTTATTCGCGTGTTGTCTTCCGGGAAGGTGGACGGCGGCATGACAGGGTATGGGGAAGCGGAGGTTGATTGGGGAAAAGGAAAACTAAAAAATAAAAAAAAAAAAATAGATAATATGGAAAAAAAAACCACAAGCATCAACTAAACGGTTAGGGTCTCGTGTGCACGTCGTAATATTATTTATATATATATACACGGTATATACGTACACGAGTATAATAATATATTACGGTATATTACGGTTCCATTTACGTACACACACAGCACTCAGCATTGCGGGCATCGGGTCTGAAGGATCTCTAATATATACGTGTAATATCGTACGTTGTGTTCATCGCATCTACGTGGGCGGCGGTTCGAAAATAATAATAATAATAATAATAATATGACATTCACGAAAGCCGGACCATATAAAAAAAAAAAAAAAAACGCAATACGGATATGTAATTTTTACAAGTCGCGGGTTAGGTACACAAAAAAAAAAATAAACACGCGCACACATAATACACACGCTATTTTTTATTATTGTTATTTTTTTTTTTTTTTTTTTTTTTTTTTTTTTGCTACTACTTTCCGTACCATAACCGTTATTATCTCGACCAACACCACCACCACCACCACCACCACCACCACCACCGTCGTCGTCTCCGTCATTTCCGTCATCGTCGTCAATTTCGGTTTCCTCTACAATCGTAGCGCACTTTTGTCTGCCGCCACCGCCGCCGGGCGTCATAGACGACGACGTATCCGACACGTCTGACACGTTCATTGCTAACCTCTGCATTTTATGCACCATGGTTATAGCGTTCATTAATTGCTGGAAACATTTAGGTTAGGATATCATCTTTATTTCGGGTTTTCAAGTGGTTCGTAGTGTATCGGATATAATTTTCTAATAATCTATGCTATCTGTCTATTAGCTATATCCATACATACGTCCGTCCATCTATCTATTACAGCAGTTATCCGTCTAATAACATCATCTATAATAATATTATCTAAACGGCCGAACAAGTGGCGCTATCGCGCGATGTGGGTTCGACCGGAGTAAAACAAAAAAATACCGCTTTCATGTCGCCATTGTCGATACACAGTAAGTAATAGACACACAATAAGTAATTAACTAGAGTAAAAACTAAGTATAGTATAGTGAATGTAATTACGAATTGTGACTACGTACCTTCCATCTGGACTTTGCGAAGTTCTTTTTGAGCTGCGCCGATACGGTTCCGTGGATGTTCTTGCTGCTGGCCGCGTTACCCGATATCCTAAAGAGCAAAATGCGCGGTTAGGTTTCATTAAAAGAAACGAACAACTTTCGAGACGTGTCGAGTATACTCGAACTCGGCTCTATAATGATATTTGTATAGTAAGATCATATCGCATCATTGCCGACTTGACAGAAAAAATTCAAGAACGGGGTAAAATGACTTTTAAAATAACGAGCGGTCAACAAAAATTGCGGGTAATTCGGTATTCGATGATTTTATGTGATTTGAATCTGAGGCATATATACAATCTGTTATTCAAATCAATGTTACGAGTAGATCGGGGTATCAACGAAATACTGTTCGCCAACAACTATAGAACTATCTATTTAAAATCAAGACAACTGTTTTAAACATAGTAGATACCATTAAATATTTCGTTGAAAAGTATTTGAAAAATTTGTGAAAATTCGAAATACCTTTTACGTGTAAAACAATATCGTTCGTGGACGGTTTGTTTGAAATACCACATTTAGTCTGACAGACGGTGTGATTGATTGCCGTAAAAAGAATATGTCAGATTATAAAATATATTACGGCCAGCCAAAGTGTATATTATAAAATAAACTCAACATCGAGTATATATTTTTTGTGATCATGTATTTATTGTTTGTTAAGTTTCTTCGTCCCGGTCGGTCGCCGCGCGATGTTATATTTATTTTATTTTCACGCGAACGTTAAACACGGATCTTTGGTTTGACAGATTTTTCGCTTCTCGTTTTTATTTTTTCAGGAGGTGACGGTGAATTAACGTCAAAAGCGACATTCGATAATTCGACAAACGTCTTAGATACTTGCTGCAGCGGCTGTAATCTCTCGAGTACACGATCGCCTAAATTACTTACAAAACGCCCGCGCCAAACTTACCATGGATGAGCCAATGCTTCGCGGCACGTGTACCGTTTGTCCGCGTCCACGCACATCAATTGCCTGATAAAGTTCTTTGCCGAATCGCTGATGTCGTCCCAGTACGGAGCGTCGAACTCGAATTCACCTGCGGCACACGCCGAATAACAATCGGGTTACATTCGTTTATTAAAATAATACTGTTTTCGGTGGGTAGGTATGCATTATTATGCTGCAATTCCTGGTTGTAGTCAATTTGCACCAAGATTTTTTAACTGCGCTTGTAATTCGCACCAAAATAAAGACATGTAATTTGCACCATCTCGGGTAGTAAGAAATAAGAATTGTAATTTGCACCAAAATTCAAATCGATTATTGTTTCGATAGTATTGTATCTACGCAGTTTTGATATAAGAGTATAATATATTGATACATGAAAACTTAAAGACACAGAATATTTCGTTTCGAATTTGAGTGGTTCACTTACGTATTTACACCGTTTTACTGTACATCAATAATGACTTAAAAGCTACCTTATAACAATAATAATTACAGATATATTATAAAATGTTACAATAATCGTATTATTTTAGGCAAAAATATAATTTAGTAATTTTGTACAACAAATGAAAAGTCGGAAAGACTATTCGATTAGTATTTGGTCGAAATAATAAATTATGTGATTACGAAGGATAATCGAACGTAAAATTTTGAAACGATATCAGATAAGGTGGCGGGTAGTCAGGAACCCCAGAAATAAAATGTATATTTTTTATCATTTTAAATGAGAAAATGGAATAATATAAAAAAATTAGAAAGTTTAAAAATATCAATTAAATAATGTAATAACAATGTTTTATAAACCCAGTGTATATTAATAAATTCATTCTTTAGAAATATGATACTCTAAACATAAACTTATCTTAAAGAAAACAATAATTTTTTGATTTTTAAAAATAGTAGTATAGGTCAGCTAAAATCGTCAATTATACCACTGTGGATCAATCGAATAGGCACTAGACAATCGAATACATAGGTACTCATTTTGGTACAAATCACAAACACTGTTTTCAACTACTTACGGTGGTGCAAATTGCGTACCCTTATTTTGGTGTGAATTACATATATTAATTTTGGTGCAAACTACCAACTCCCCAATATACCTATACCTTCATATAATAAAAACGATACAATGAGCTAGAGGGATTCTTTCGGAAACAGAACATATTAAAATACACGGAAAATTTTGTTTTAAAAAGTAATACATTTCCCATTCATCTTATCTTCATAATAAATACATTCCACACACATTTTTTTTTAAAAATTTTGCCATATAACCACAACTAATATGTTACAAATATTTTAATGATAAGTTTTCAACGTATTATTAGAAGAATATCTTTTTATTTACTATAGGTATTGGAATTCTATAATTTGTGTTCACATTCCGACATTAAATGAATGAATTCAAATTCACGGTTTCTAAAAAATAAAAATAATCGAATTTACGAATGCATTCCGCTGAAAATAAATTAAATTAAATGAACATAAAAACACTGATAATGTAGAATCCAGAGTTTAAAATTACAGTGGGCAAGTCGTACTGGCGATGTCAGAATCGGCTTTAACGCACGACAATGGTAAAGTTAAGATAAATTATCCCTTGGATGCTTCCGTTTAAGGTTAGAAGATGTGAAAAGGAGAGACGTGGAATTTTTTTTCTCGCCAACATAACAGGCAAATTCTACCTCGATTATATAAACATATAATTAAAATAGACACACTTTTATTATACTAAATAGTATTTTTACAAATTTGAGTGATTAACTTAGTCGATGGTCAGAAGGTAAACGGGCAAAAACCAAATTATTCAGGAGAGCCGAAAAATATAAAATTGCAAATAAATTGTATTACAACCTTAGAACATCAAATGATAAATCGTTTTGAGATTTAATAGGAAGCGTTAATAGGATATGGCGTTTATGGATTATATGTTCATAATTATAGACGATATAAAAAATAGGCTCTTACGCCCATTTTTTTTTCTGTATTTGGCACTTACAACCCAAAGATGTTCTATCGAATATAACCACCGACAATGACGAGTATGTCCAATTACGTTTCACTGAATGCCGTTTACGCTTTTAAATGAAGTTTACACCCATTTTGTCAATCCCTCCAATTCTATGACGTTTACGACCAAATTTTAAAACATCGATTGTTATTACTAAATAAGTGATATCGATGTTTAGGTTGGATTAATCGATGTAGAAACTTGCCGTTTACAACAATATATAAAAAAGTGACGCTTACGCCCTTTTACGTTCTAACCATTGTTAATAATTTTAACTGTCTCATCTTAAATGTCATCGCCGGTTATAATGCTTTCTGTGTGTGCATGAAATGAAAAAGCCGAGGATGAACGTATTATTCTTGATTTTAGGTTTGTTGGGTCAAATGGCAAGTACTAGTATACGATCGCGATTTAAATTTTTTCTATAGACCATGATAACCTAACATTCATATTTGTGTTTTAATACCTATTTATAAATAATATAATATATAGAATTATATACAAATGATTTCTGTGCACAATCGAGTTAAGCCTATTTTATACGGAATATATTCACTATACAGGGCGTCGTACAGTGTTATCCGAATGCTAATAACTCTGTCAATATTATTTAAAAAAAAAGTTTTTTCTTTAAATTTGTTAATTATATTATTCTAAACATTTTAATGTAGTATGTATCATACTTATATTCGATCGATGGTTTCTTAGTAATAGCCGTTGTATTTACTAGAAAATTGGTGCGAAAACTTTTAATTTTCAATAGAATAACACGTTACGAAATAAGGAATTACAATCAGCATGATAATTCTTTATCTTCTATTAATTGTTTTTACGGCTATTTTCTGTATATTAATGCCGTTATAACTAAGAAACGGTTAATGGGATATGAATTTATAATGAAAAAATTAGAATTTTAAGAATAATATATTTTACAAAATGGCTATTTTGAAAATTTCAAAAAGTAACAAAAAAAAAGAAACTTTTTTCAGTGATTAATGAAGATAAACATAAATAAATTTTGCTTTACATTTGGGTCCACCGCAAAACCTGTTTGTAATAAATAATGAATATTGACAAAGTTATTAGAATTCGGATAACACTGTAAGGCATCCTGTATATAATATATAACTCAAATATATTAAAAGTAGTGTTTAACAACAAATACCTGTATGAATATCGAGAAAATAAACCTTGTTTAAGTTTAGTTTAAACCATATTTCACAAATTTCACTATTAATTCATGATAAAGTTACCTAGGACTATTGTTAATTCTATACAAATTAATGAGACAATTTATCCATACTCATCATCTAATTTGAGTAAAATTGAAAACTAATATGCCATATCCTACAGCAGATAAGTGGTCCTCAACCATTGTGTGTTGGCGACCTAATTTTCATCCAACTTTTCATGGGACCGTTTTGAAAATAATTTTTATACCCCTACCACCATAATTCGTTCAATTACTATAACGAAAATAAACTAATATTCTTCATTTATTTTTCAAGTAATTTTCCTTAATGTGACATCCTCTTGCATTATAGATACAATGTCACGGTTTCCGACCCGCCTATTATCAAACGAAATGCTTGGATTACCTTTTAAGATTTGAGCGAAAAGGTTCGCGTCGTTCTCATCGTAAAAAGGCGGATAACCGCACAACAATATGTACGAAATTACGCCGATACTCCAAACGTCCACCGCCTTGCCGTAAGGCTTCTGTGCCAACACCTCCGGAGCTGAAAAAAAAAAAATCCAATCGTTAAAATAATATAAGGAACCACGCAAAAGAATATATTTTTTATATGTTTTATTTCAGTTTTAATCCTAATTAAATATTTTTCTTTAACCCTTAAATTTATTTTATTATCTAAATAATATAACGTAAGTCTTTTAAAATGTTATTAATAAATAGTTATTGTTATAATATATTATTCTCTATCTCTAATACAAACCGATTTTCAGTGGTAAAAAAAATGGACAGCGGCAAAACTGTAGAAAAGTACATATTTTAAAGATAAAAAAAAAAAAAAAACAAAATAAAAACAGAAGACGATATTTTGAAGAGAACCTACAACACGTATTTTTTAAAATATCAATAGTATGGGGATTTGAAAAATGCGTTTCACCTTTAAAACCACTGAATGGTATATCATTTTTTTTTCTGTTTTCCTGAACACGTCTTGTTTTTGAACGAATTTCAGGGTTACGTGTAATAAATATAATAACGATGCGTCGTAAACTGTATACCTAAACTTGTAAATTCATTCAAAAGTACCTAATTTAAATATTTTCGAAGAGATACATTTCTAGAGTTATTTGAATATTGATTTGTTCATTGTTGAAATCGAGGAAAGTCATGTCGAGTATTAATTTTTTGGAGTTGAGTAGAGTTCAAAAGATAAGTATTTGGACCTGTGTGCATGAGTGTTCGAATAAAACAGTTACTGACGGTGAACAGTCCGTATTGTAGACGTGGTTAACAATCGGCAAAGGGGAAATGGAAATAACAATCTGCATAAATGTTGTTATTATAACAATAAAATAAAAACAACCAAATTCAAATTATCAACATGGTGTTTTTATTGAAAATATTTAAATAAAACAGTTGAGTACTCGAATCGAGAATTTTCTGAAGTCAAGTACAGGCCAAACTACAGATTTACAGTTTTTTTTTTTTCGAAAAATTTCGTTTAAATTGCGCAATTTGTGTACAGGCATGTGCCCGTATGAAATCCCGTAATTCGAGTAAACCCCCCGGAGTGGTGGGTAAAAATATCGTAGAGGTCAATTTTCGAGGTTACATCGGAAATAATGCTGCCGAAACGATTTCAGGAACGTGCCGGAAAATACGGTTCTTATATTATAAAAATATTATGGTTTTCCATCTGTAAAATAAATCGAGCACCGCCCGTCGCGTGATATTTCGGATGTTATGTTATTATTGTATGTGGAACTCGGATTTTCAACGCAGTATTTTATTATCGTAGAGGTACGTATGATGGATACGATTCGAAATTCTACGTTATTATTATACGTACGGCTGCGAAGACGACTGTACGCTTTTACGAAAATTCGGTCCGGACGGAAAACATATTGCTTAATGGAATTCCATTTTTTTTTTCCGGCTGTACATAATATTATGTTTTAGATTCTGAGTGGAGCGAAGAAACTTATGGTTTTACAATGGTGTTTATTTTTGATTTTTTTTTTTCCTGTGAACAACTTTTCTATCAGCAATTTTACTCCGATTTACAATGGTTGCAATGGTTTCTGAAAGGAAATCATACTGAGGTGGTACTTTAAAGACGTAATTTTCTTGATTTTCCCAATAAATGGGAAAAACCGGGAGAACGGGAAAATAGGTACAATATTAAACAAATATTATTAAAGAAAATGTTAAACGCATATGCAATTATTTTACTATACTATGACATATGTATATTGTTGACAGAGCACTATCAACACTATCAACCGAGCTCTGCTCAGAATCATTTTTTCATTAGCAAAGATTAATCGTTGCTTACATATACACATTAAATTCTTATCTTTGCTCAGGCTCATATTCTATACAAATGTATAGACAATTTAAATATACAAATTTATTTTGATTTTCCAAATTCCCACTCACAACAGTTACACACTCATCAGCAGTATTAGATCACAATACTCGTCAAATTGTACGCCATATAAAACGCCAAATACACATAATAATAAATACGTACCAACATATCCGGGAGTTCCACAGGCTGTGGCCATTACGCCCGAATCTTCGATCTTGGACAATCCGAAGTCGCTAATCATGATCTTGCTGTCTTCGTCCGGACTGTAGTACAACAGATTTTCCGGCTGAAACACATTAAATTAATTATTATTATTAATCGTCGTCGAGATTTTACGACAATCATTTTGAATATTGTAATAATATTGTAGTTTTTCTTGTTTTATCGATACTTTAACACTTTGTCTCTACACAGGGCGATCAATTTAAGGTAAGTCACTTACAGACTATCATGGAAAGTATTAATTTTTTTGATAATTTAAGAATCATATAGCTATTAAATGTTACATTATCTATAAAATATAATCGTAGGTGAAATCACTACCAATTTTTGATATTCAAATAGCAAACTGAATTTGAAATTCCATAAATATATTATGTAGTTTTAGTTTAAATAAATGTGTGATTAGTGAGGGTGAAGCATAATTTGTGTAGTGGCGCTGAATTTGTATAATAAGTTGCTATACAGTGTTAGGAAACTTCCTTTTAAAAGTGAACGAATTCTTTCTGCATCAAAGGAACTTGTTTTTTTTTTTTTGTTAATCTTTATCATTTGATCTATTTAAAAATAAAATGAAAACTATTAGTTTCACTTTCAAACAAAAGGATCCAACAAAATAATGGTAATTTAAATATTTTGAGCTGCTTATTTGTTAAATTTTCAAAAAAAAAAATTTCGAAAAAAGTTAATAATATCTTCCGAGATAATAAGTGACTTATATTGTAATGATCACCTTGTATACTTTGGTTTACACTTTATACGGCAATATAATGTAAAAGTTGTAAATCCGTCCGAATAGGTGTCCCGGCGAGATTGCCTTCAAAAGACACATAATAATAATATAATGTTTCAATTTATGTTATAAAAAAAAAAAAAAAAAAAAAAAAAATAAAAAATAAAATAAAATCGATATTTGAATTTTTGAATATTTAATCATCAGTGTTATGTTTAATATTGTTAAAATGTATGAATTTTTTGAGCATAAGTCATGTCAAGTATCAGGGTTAAATGATTAAACTTTATTTTTTTGATTTGCTCGTATACTGTACGACCGCATTGGGCTAATACAGGAAGTTATAGGTGATCAATATTCTAATACTTCGAATTCAGATGAGTCGAAAGATGAATGTAACTAATTTAATTTATATTAAATAAAAACCGCATTAAATTTGAAAAAGAAATAGATTTTTGGATAAATCGATATTATGGGGTTATTCAACTTCGGTACAACTAAAAACTTTCTTATGTTATTTTGCACTAAATGAAGAGTTCGAGTTTAGAGTTACTTTTGTATGCAAATGATCGAAATAACTTTATGATTAAGTTTTACGTGGTTTATTAACAATAACGAAAAAAGTAAGTATACAATAAGTAAATTTTGATTCTACCAATACGTTGAATATAAAAAAATTTAAAAATGTACAAAACAAAATATCCAAAAATATTAGTTTTGGTATTTTATACTAAAAGACCACGGTTTTTAGAAAAATCGAGCATTTTAAAGTTTTTTGAATATAACTTCGAAATATGTTTGAGCGACTCTTTTTAAAAGTATCGTGTAAAAACACACATTTTGAAAAAAAAAAAACCTTGGGAGTTAACTGGAAATGTTCCAATATTTTAATGTTATTGTTTAGTTTGGAAACGCACTACTAGAGCGCGGCAAAGTGTCTGATTCCACGTTTTTTCGTAATAAAATATTAATTGTATGTATTAAGAATGGAAATTGCAATGGTCTGGGACGCATTATTACTATGTTAACACTGATAAGTGTATTTGATAATCAATGGGGTAAATACTCGGTGGACAAGGTGGGTGAACGCCATGGACCCACAACTGATGAGGGCCCTAGCAGTAGCCTAGACCACGGCTCAGGGCATCATTGGACAGGTGAGGATCTTTTTCGGTCTTTAGGACTTTAATACAATATTTTACTACAAGCATTAGAAGTTTTAGTTACGTCACTGTTGATGATATTCAATAGAACTTATTAGGTTATGACTAGAGGTCGGGTTTTTATGATTTTACATAGTTGTTTCTAGTGTAAGTAGTTAAATGGGAGTAATATATCTTCACGATTCATAAAACATAGAAAACATTTATTTTGCATAAAAAGGATATTTGAAGGTTTAGAGAATATTTTATAAATATTTTTATTTTTGATCCTATTATTTGTATAGACGTACATCGGCGTTTTGATAATATTGATCAAAAAATACGAATTATTTTATAAGCGAGTTATGTTTATATCCTTCTGGGTTTCTAATAAAAATTAATCACTAGATATTTCTTATCGATGGCGATAACAAATAACAAAATAAAATTAGCTGTTACGGTTGTAAAATAAAACAAATTAAAAATGTTATAAACCAAATTAATAGTACAATTTAATTTAAGCTGAAAACTCAAATTAAAATTTTTGTTTCAGAATATTAAAAGTATGTTTTGCCCTTTTAAGGACATAAAACATCATATTTTAAGGATTTTAAGAGCCTTTAAATCCGACCTCTAGATTCTAATTATGACAGTAAAATTTATTATCGTATGAATTTTATTACTTATGTTTAAAGTGTTAATTCGTTTAATTTATTATGATAGATAAATAATTTTTTAATAGTGATTTGTACATAGGTAATAAGTGTATAATAATTTATTTTATATTCATTAAATAATTGCTAATATTGTTAATTTGTATTTTAGATTCTAAATGGAGTGAAGGAGCTCATGGTTTTACAAAGATGTTTATTTTTTTTTTTTTATTTGTGAACAACTTTTCTTCAAGAAATCTTGCTTCGATTTTTAAGTGCAGCACCTTTTCTGAAAGGAAATTGGATTGGGGAAGTACTTTGAGGAAGGCGATTTTCTCAGGAGTTTACTCATCAAATGTGAAAAACCGAAGAAAAAAAACGAAGAAAAACCGGGAACATGTACGAAATATATTAGTAAAATATTTCTTTTCGTTTGGACAAATTGTCTACCAGCAATTTCGCTCCGATTTACAATGATAGCATTTTTTTTAAAAGGAAATTTGACTGGATTGGTACTTTAAAGAGATCATCATCCCAGGAGTTTTCCTAATAAATGGGAAAAACCGTTAGAAAAATGGGAAAATAAATACAATATCAAAAAAAAACGAATATAATTCACACGTGGTTGCAGCCACTGTTGTGAGTAGGAAGTTGAGAAGGTAGGATACAGACGGGAATTTAATATATATCTGTAAGCAACGATTATCCATTGCTAATGAAAGAACGATTTTAAGCAGAGTTCAGTTGATAGTGTTGCTTTTTCAACAATATATGTATATCATATTAAGGTAAAATAATTACATATACATCAAACATTCTTCAAACATTTAATATTTTGTAATATTCGTTTAATATTATACCTATTTTCCCGTTCTCCCGTTTTTTCTGGTTTTTCCAATATATTCAGAAAACTCCTGTGAAAATCAAAAAATTACCTTCTTAAAGTACCACCCCAGTCGGATTTCATTTCAGAAAAGTCCTACACTTGTAAATCGGAACAAAATGTCTGGTAGAAAAATTGTTCACAGATAAAAAAAAAAAAAAATAAATAAATAAAGATCATTGTAAAACCATAAGCTTCTTCGCTCCACTCAGAATTTAAAAATATTATTAAAGAAAATATATAATGTTGATTAAGCAACACTATCAACTGAACTCCGCTCAGAATCGTTTTTTCGTTAGCAATAATTTATCATTGCTTATTGATATACATTAAATATTCCTTCTAATACCTTCCCAACTTCTCATCTACAACAGTGGCTGCATCTACGTGCGAAGTATGTCCGTTTTTGTGTTCCTCTTTCTATAGATTTTATGAACAAAAAATAAGCAATAATCACATACTCTATGTTAGTAGGTTATTTTATTATTTCCACTTTAAAAAAAGAAGAGCCGCTATCGGTACCGAAATAGAAATCCGAAAAAAAAATATTTTGGTTTCGAAGAAGAACCGGTGTCAATGTTTTTCAGGAACCTATCTTTAATTATAATTATGTATGTAATATATATTGATTGTTAAAATTAGCAAAAAATAATCTAAATTTATGCAATAGGCATTAAATCAATATTTTTTTTTTTTTTACATTTGACTATTTGAAATAAACAAAAATGTAAACATTCCTTAATTTAATATAACGTTTATTTTTAATAAAATATCGCTTAATTTTTCGCACGTAAGAGAATTTTAGAATATATTATTTACTTCTCGAGAATTTTAATCACGAATATAAAAACTGTAAAGGAAATATTTACCTTTTCGGTGAAAAGGGGACGGATAAAGCAAAATTCGAAATTCAGAAATTGCAGAATGATAAAAGCTGATGAAAACTGCTGTAGTGTTTTCTGATATTTCGACATTTTTTTTTAAACCTAAAAGTCACATGCGTCCATGAAAAGCGTAGAGTATTTTTTCCGAGTAGAAACAAACAATGCAGAATTTGAATCGTGTACGTAAAAATAACTTAGGAAATATTTACCTCCTCGGAGAATTTTTACCAGGAATATTATAATGAATAACAAAATATATTTACTCTGTATGCGCATTTTAATCGTGTATGTAAGAATAACATAGGAAATATTTACACTCCCACCCTTCTCGGTGAAAAGTGGACGGAAAAAGCTAAAATAAAAATTTTAATTGCAGAATAATATTTTATGTGGCTATACGAAAGAAGAACCTCCGAAGCGTTTTTCGATATTATAATGAATAACAGGAAATGTTATGCCTTTTTCTTTACCCTCATTCTATATTTTATTTAGCAGGAGTAAACATTTATCAATACATATTTATTTCCTCGAAAGCAAATTTTTATTGAGAAGAGGGGTAAATATATCCTAGCGTATTTTTATTGGAGGTAAATATACCTTACTGATATACTCACCGAAAGGTGGGGGGGATTTTACTAGTAAATTTTTACCCATTAAACTTTATTAGGTAGCGTAAATATATAAGAGGATATTTTTACCGTAGGGGTAAATAGATTTAGGGGCAAACATATTGTTACATCGGGAATAATGTCTACACGTTTTTGTCTAATTTTCCCCGAAAAATGAAACTATTATTGCAGTTTTGTGTCCGTTATACCTGATAAGTGATTCCCTGTATAATGTATATAAGTATATAGTATATATTTTTTATAATAAAAAATAAGAAGAGTATGAAATTATTGAATACTTAATTCCGTTGATAACTTATTACTGTTTTACCTTCTTCACTGCTTTTAGACACTTCTAGAGACTCCTAGACTAAATGTGTCCGAACTCGGAAATTAGAGTGGTTTTATAGGCAAATTGAAGTGATTTAAGCCGGAATGAATTTAACTATGCATTGTTGTGGTAGGAAGGCATTTTTTAGATTTTCAACATCCATCCCAAACTCCTAGACCTCCCTAAGGTCTAGACCTTCTAAAAAAAGTTAGGGGGACGGTATATTGCATAAGCACGGCGTAAATATCAAAAATCTATTTCTTGCTAGTTAAAATATTTTCAGCTCCCATCATTTGTTAAGCTCGAATTGAACTATTTTTTGTTGAATTTTTTGAAGTAGGTAGTATCATTATGGTAGTAGGTATAGTATATTATATTATTGTATTATTTTAATAGTATTCAATTATATTTATCTTTTTTTACAGATAATTTTTTTTATAATACAAAATAAGTGAGGGGGATTACACTCTAACAAGGAGCTTTGCTGCTCATGAGAATTTGTTTAGTCAGAATTCTGGTCTGAGCTCGGAGGAAGTCATCGAACGACCCACATAAATTTCTCTAAGTACTTTTTTTATGTTTAATTTCTAACAGTTCGAAATGTCTAAACCACTTACCTTCAAATCCCTGTGCACCACGCCTTGTTCGTGCATGTAGTCCACAGCTTCCAACACCTGGCGGATCAGATGGGAGGCGTCCTTTTCAGTGTACGAACCTTTCTGGACGATCCGGTCGAAGAGTTCACCTCCAGTCACCCTGCGCAAAAGTTATATAAAAATAAATGTCAAATAAAGTGGTAAAGTGTCAAAAATGTATTGAATTTTAAACAATATTTTCCAGAATTTTGTTCATTTGTGGTTTTGTTTTATTTAATTAATATTAAACAACACATAGTAAACCAAAAAGTTCTAGTAAACTTTTACGCTGATATAGTGTAAATATAGAGTATATTCTATAGTAGTGCAAAGTTTAAAAAATCATATTGATATCTAATAAAGTTTGAAAATTGTGATTCCTAATATCAAACTATTTTATACATTTTTTGATTGTTCACAGATTTTAGAAAAAAAAAAAGTTGAGATTTTTTGTTTGGGTAATTTTGGCGTTTGCTAATTTCGCATGGACGTGTGCGATTCAAATTGTTTTTTTATTTATGCTGTGAATCGGACGTGTATAGGTTACAGCTTTTGGATTGTGTCACTTGACGCTGTAATATTATTGTTGACCCACGGGAGCCTCGGGGAATTCGTGGTTTCGGAAGTAATAACTAACGAACACTAATTACGGCCGTGGAATTACCGACGGGGAGACAAGATAAATTATTTTATTAAGCCTTGCTTAACCGTACGAAAATTTTCAGTCGGAATTATAACATCCATCCGGTCGGAAAGGGCGTATAATACGCCGTTAACTGTTAAGTATATTATAGATATTGTTGAAGCAAAGTGTAATAATAATAATTACTGTCGTAATCCCAATTTATTTGGGTCGGGTCAGGCACGTATTTAAACAATCGCCTCTTCCCAAAGCTTGTGTCATAGTTTATCATCTAATTGCAAACGAAAAATAACTCTGAGCACCGAATGAAGTCTATAACAATGAAGTAATGGTGTAATAGTTACGAAATAACGCTCAAGTTCTTTTTATCACTATATAAAACACATAATAAACCTTTTGTATTATATTTTTTAGCATTTTTATGGACCTGAACATTTTTATCAACATTAAACTGTAAAAAACTAAAAAACTTGAAAATTTCATATAGCTATAAATAACTTAAATAACGCCAGAATATTTTGAAAACCATGTCACCTCTAGAAAACGCTAATATCAGTAAGTATTTTGTATACATTGCAGTTCTCAATAATTATTTTTTTTACAACAAAACATCTAAATCAAATTTTAACGGAAATCCTTGTTACATAAATATTCCCGGTCTTTCCATATTTTTTCCCGTTTACTGTATTATTAAAAAAAAGTATAAAGAGTATTCAAAAATAACTTCGCCGATACACGAATTAGACACAATTTATTACTAGAAGCCATCAATAAATTGATCATTGGAGTTTTCTGATTTAAGTTGTTTGCAAATAGAAAAACACAAATTGATAAAAAGCATATATAACAGTTAATTATTGGGGAATATTGAACTACTAATAAAAATATGTATCACCCCCCTCCCCCCCCTAATAAGGTACCAAATACGTGCATTAATACGAGACATGACGTCTCCATGACAAGTATATATATATTGAGTGCATATACCAGTATTATATAATGTAAGTAGAAGACGACATCATAATAGTGGAGTGAATTTGTATTGAAATATCTGTAAAAGTGTGGCGTGACAATAAAACAGTAAACTATATTATGCGCGTTTACACCAAAGACGCACCTAAGGAGGGGATTGACGGGCTTAAGCCACCTCCCAAAGTAGTTCACTTTAAATATGGTTAAGAAGGATCAAACACACTGGAGTGTAGGACGTAGGGACGAGAGGAGAAATAATAGTATATTATATCCATGTAAAAAGAATTTGGACAAACGAGGTCGTACAAGGGACGCGAATAGTAAAACAATAATAATTACGGCGTCGCCGACGGCGGGACATTCGAACAATTTAATTATTATTATCTACTATAAATGATGACGAAGAGACGGAAAACAAAGACATAATACAGTGTGTTCTAAAAAAGACGGCGATTTTAATGAAATTGTTCGGTCTCCGTCAATCCGTCGTCGTATACACCGCTTGCTAATGGAATATTCGTGGGGTCTTGTCCAACGATAGTATAATAGAAATCGTAATTATGCCCTTTGGCTTTAGAAAGACTCCGGAATGTTTGAAAATTCGTTAGTACCCGATCATTAATTCAAACTAGGTGTTTCGATTTCAAATGATAATAGTTATAACTATTGAGGTCATGGCCGTGTTCGGAGGGTGGGCAATGGGTACATTTGCCCGGAGAGTCATGTTTTGGGTTCCTAATTATTAATTATGATAAATCGATAAAGAAATTTTAATATAATTGAGTAGTTTCCAATTATTATCAGTTATTATCAGGAGAAGTGGTTGTGTATAACTGTGCTTTTATGTATTAAAATACATAAAAGTACATAAAAGGTCGATAAAAAAAATAACCAATTTATATTATGTTTCATGGCCCATAACGATTCTGTATACAAAATTTTATTTCGCTACTTTGGTAGTAGGGCACATTTTTAGGATTTCGTAAATTTTTGACTCAAATAAGAATCATAACGTAACTGTTTAAGATTTATGTATGATGATATAATATTATTATTTATTAATTTGTTTCATTTTTGATAATAATGACGTTTATTATATAGGTATATATATGATATAAATATTTGCGATTGAGTTTGAAAAAAAAGGTTGGGGAGGGGTAATTATATAAATGATCTCTGATCGCATATTCCCATCATTCACTGCAAATGTTACAATATAGTACAGGTATTACAGGTTATACTTACAATTCCATGATGAGATAGACTTTTGACTTGTCTTCAAATGTCTCCAACAATTGCACGATATTCGGATGAGTGAGCCTGCAAACATAAAATGAAAACCAATAGATCGTCATAATAAATTAAAGTTATTATTTTTTAAACATTTTTTTTTTACCGATCCCGTTACATTTGTTATAATTATTATAATAATGGATTAGACCGTGTTTTTGTAGGTATCGGATCATTATTTAAAACAGTTTTTTTTTTTGTAAAATCATGCAAAGCATTTCCCTTCGATAGACGTGCGATTCCCGGACATTTTTCTACGGAAATATTTACCTCGATAACCGTTAATTTTAATTTTTCATGATCGTATAATGTCTAATATTCATTAAACGGGCGACCATAAATAAAAAATAAATACTAAGTAGGTACCTATATAATAATATTGAACTTTTGAACGCCATCGTGAGAAACCCGAGAAATTGAAACTTCCCGTAAAGTCTTTTAGAATATGAAGAAATTTACGAGACACAGTCAATAGTATAGTATAATAATATAAGGATGCGTCAAGGTTAAATTTTTAACAAGCATCGGAAACGATCAGTGGCATGCAAACGTTTATTTGAGAGGCAATAATAAGGTACGAAATATTTGCCTCTCAAAAATGTAGAGTCGGCTACGACACTGGAAACGGTATCCAAACGAATATTGTCAAAAACGAAAATCCATTAGGATTATCGCCGACGAAATTATACTACGCGAGTCCAGGACTCATTAAATTAATCCGAGAGAAAAATAATATTGTTGTCGGGGTTTTTTTTTTCAAGTAGGTATTTAATCGAAATTTAATATTCGTTCATTTTCCTAATTTATCGTAATTAATTTTACCCGTCTTGACAGATACATTATGTAACTACAAAAGTATTAATTTTTATCAGAAAAAAAAAAAAAAAGTGGCCGAATTTTTTTTTTATTTGTACAATATATTTGATTAATGGACGGCGAAGGGTTAAGTGTGATTTCCGCTGAGCATTCCAAACCGTCTTAAAAAAACAAAAACCCGATGTTTTCGTCATGTAAAGAAAGTTGTAGTCAAATAACCTGTAAACAATAACAATAACAACAACATCATCAACAACAAAAACAAGAACAAGACCAACAACCACAATAAGAACAACAAACAACAATCGTACGTAGCGATGATTATAGACATTTTCGATTAGATGTATTAGTGTGCAAGGATATTTAATTTAGTTAACAATAATTTTCATTTATGAATATTGGTGTGTATCATAGACTTATAATAATATACAGGGTAATCAATTTTCTGTAGCCTAATAACGACTGTCTGGGAAAGTATTAACGCGTATCTCGGGATTTTCTATTTGAGAAATTTTAGATACATGCAGTTTTATGCAACATAATATTATATCAAACGTTCCGTAAATTGACGAAGTTTCCGTTGAAATACATTTTGGTGTTGACATATTCTGTTTCCTTTCTTTGCTTCTCTATCTACGTCTCTCCGTGAAAATACTAAATTTAAAAGTGATATATCTCGCCGAATGAGTTGATGGAAATCACAATTTTCAACACAGTTTGAACTAAAACTTCATCAATTTATGGAATTTTTAATACCTATGATTTTAACATTTTAATATATATGGTTGCTATTTTAAAACTAAAAGTCTCTGCGAGAAGTAATTTTACCGACACCAATCACCATAATGCATAACGGTGAAATGTTGTAATATTTTAGAACTTAATTTTTGTTTAAATGAAAATGTCAAAAAAATTAATACTTTCCTATACAATTCGAAAAATCGATTATCCTCTATAGACACTGTGCATTCGCCAAACACATTGAAGGCAATATATACATACGTGTGAGAGAAAACAGACCCTAATATAAGGTTTTCAAATATCTTATAGACAGCTTTATAATATTTACTGTTTAACCACAATTATAATTTGAACTGATATGTATGGACATATGGATAACATATTTTGGTAAATAGTTTAAAATGTAAATCGATGTTTTAATCATATTACTATACCAGCCTGCAAAAATTATGTAAGAGTCTGTTCCTCCCACGCATTTGTAAACGCGAGACATTTTATGTTTTATATAAGTCTACGGTGTGTGCCCAGTGCCCATGTACCTATATAGTGCGAACCATGACTAAATAAACGGCGTGTTCCTTCAAAAATCTATTTCTCTGAACGGCATGTCCCTCCGCAGACTCGGAAGAAACTAGTAGCAATGTTTATCGAAGAACATATTTTCTTCCAAAACTTCTTCTTCTTTTCTCCTCAATTTTTATTCCTCGCTGCAGGTGAGAATCAGCGGTTACTTTTATTACCACCCGCATTTCCTCGTCTACTCCACGTTACATGCCCTCACATACATCTTATCAACTGTCTCATCGTTTGTTTTTTTTGCAGCTCTAAAAATCTCTCGCAATTTATTCTCTTCCGTCGCCCCCTCTCCTTACCTCGTTAAAAAAACTTGCTATCTCTTGATTGCGCGAATAAGCAATTTTATCGACATTTTTGGAATAATGACATTTTATCAACTCAAAATTATCTAAATTCACTTTCAAATGCATTTACAAGGAGTCCCCGGTGTTATCAGCACAATTATAGACATTTATTGTGTAATCGTGAGATTAACAAAAAATATTTACAAAACACTTGTTCTCGTGAAAAAAAACTAGTGGAGCTATAGACTTAGTCGAGAAACTATATTTTCACCTTAAAACAAAGAGAAATTGTACTATGTAACATTGGTTTTTTTTTTATCTCACTATTACGAAATAAGTTATTCGAATTCTAAAAACACACAAATTTCAAATTTCCAAACAATAATTATCATTTTGTACTTGTGATATCGAAAATATAAAGCCAACGTAGCATACTAAAATTTTTTTTTGTCTATAGTGAATATTGCATTTCTTAATGAAGTCTATAGCCCGAGTAGTTACAATTCTCCGTTTTTACAATCAAATTACGGACCTCTGAATATAATCTTGGCCTCTATTGTGTATCCCTATTCTCAAGCTCACACGAATATAATCATATTCAGTAAAATACATTGACACGGTTATATTTTGGATGGATCTAACCACGTAGAAATAAATTTTCGTAAAAGAATTTATTGTATTATTCAATGTGAAAATCGTGTATATCACTATAGAAAACACGAATCTGCTTGATTGTTTAATCATACTTCATCATACCATATACGGTGTTGCATAATAGTTGTTCCATCCCAAGCATACCATACTCGGGGAGGGACTAGGGTGCACCAATAACGATATTTTTTACATCCATTTTTTACTTCCAAAATCCGGGTTTTTGTTTACAATTACTCAAAGACTATTTGCGTGAGTTCAAAAATAAATATTCCATATTTACTGCGAATTTCTCATACGAATGGATATGCTACATCATTTATACACATTTTGGCAACACTGAGCCACAATCATTGTGCAAAAATATGACATATTGATTCGCACGAGACACGCGCAGGAAATACTTGCAGGGATATTTATTTTAAAACACATGGAAAACACAGGTTTTAAAGACAGAAAATAATGTTCAACAGTTTCGTTATTGGAGCACTCAACTGAGTATAGTATGCTTGGGATAGCACAACTATTGCGGAACACTCATTATATCCAATTTAGAGATTACGATTTTAAATGTTGAGATACAGAAGTATATTATGAAAAAATATTATTTAATATTATCTTGATTATGGACCTCTATTAGTGACAAATAAAATATTTTGCGACATAACTGTATTAATTCAATTCATTTTCCTACGAACGTTTACTGTAACAAAGTTTCGTACACGGATACGAGTAGTTTGAGAATGGGATTTTTCAGTCGTATACGGAAATATAGTCAGTGAATATAATTCGTGCATAGATTCTATTCGTATGAGTTTGAGAATAGGACCCATGGTGATTACAAAAAGTATAGCATTTCTGGTACTCGCTGTCTTTTTCCTCCAAGATCGGGGAACACTATAGCTCTCGTTCTTTCGTACCTAAGTCATTTTCAGCGGAACATTTTTGTAGAACGCCTGTTCATTTAAAGTCACGATTAAGTATTAGTGAGGTGACGGCGGCGGTGGCGGCGGCAGCAAAGACACACATTAAAAAAAAAAAAAAGACACAAAATACAAACAGTAGTTCGATCCGTCACCACGCCACCACCTTATTAAAATAATAACAATATTATCAGCAGTGCGCAGCGTCGCAATCTGTACACAGAACGAACCCGGTAACCGTCACCCGTGCTACAACATTGACTCACCATTGACCCTCGTTCTTATCGTCGGTTCCCGCCGAATGGCCACTCCTTTTCACCGACTTACTGAACCTAAAGATAGAAACGATTATGTATATGTGTATATTATGTTCATAGTTTAATGTGTCATCATTACAATAATATTGTTTGCAACCATTTGTTCATAATATTATTATCGGTTCGATATAAATATCGTTTATTCAGTGACGCGATTAAATATTATTATATTAATAACATTACTAAAAATGCGCTGTGCGTGCGTTTCGCGAAACACCTGCCTATATAATATTGCCACAATGATGCGTTTTGATAATTTGTTTTCCCCCCAAAAATACAATGTTACAATGTTCAGGTTGATTCTTTTACCGTTGGACACTTTCATTAATTCGAAAAGGATTTACTTTTTTCGAAACATTTTTTTTTTATTCTTTGAGAAACAAGCAGCGGTCTATAATGTTACATTACCATGTCATTATTATTTTCGAGGGTGAAACCACTACCATCACCTACTTTTGTTTTTTACAAATTTGGCGGCCAAAACTAAATCAAAAATTACATAAATAGACGTAGAGTTATTTTTGGCAGGGGAGAGTAGTGGAGCAGGGGCCGTTCCAGCATACTAGTGATGCTCCACCACAATCCCCTACCTAAACTTAAAAGTGGAATGTTTTGTTAACGAGTTAACGTAATTCAAAACATTTTAAGACCAATATTAATTTTAACAATTACGCCATACATTTATGGGATTTTTAATGCAAGTAGTCATTTGAAAATAGTAAGACAGTAAATTGTCATTTCATCTCCCGTCAAAAAAAAAAAATAAATGTATATATTAGGTGTATAAATGAAAAAAAAAAATAACGATAAAGCAACATTTTAAAGCATCTTAAAATTTTTTAAATATATAAGCATCTAAAACATCTTAAATTTTCAAAATAGTTTTATTTTTAGTTTTTTAATTCAACACTTCGAAAAATTGAGTGTTCAACGATATAATAATCATCCTGTATTTATACGTGCGTTGGACTGTGTCGAAAAAGTTACATATTATGACATAATCGTGGGCTACGTGTGAGACACAATATTATCCTGAACGAAAATAAAACCGGTTGGTTTCGGGGGGAGGGAATTAGACATAAGTCAAGGGGCGTTAACTATACACACTTGCAGGTGACACGGGTATAAGTACTATTGGAAAATGAGGTGCTGTTGTCATGATAATAATTATTATGATTAATATCATAATATTTTGAACAAAATTCATTTTTACGATTTCGAAAGATGAAATTTATGTAAAATGTATATATTTTGGAGTAAGAAAACGGCAGTATACTTAGATGAAGCAGCGCCTCACTCGCATCACCTGACGAGCCATCACTGATTTTAAACACCATCACCACCCACCACCATAATATAATATGAATAGTACAATTTTATTTGCTGCGAACTTCAATTATTATTCTTACATAAATACAATCTCCTATCTCATCGTCTCACTGCTCCGGCAACTAAATACAACAAATAATATTATTATTAAAACCATAAGCAGTATAAAAATTTTGAAATAACAAAACGTCGTGGAAAGTCATCAAACTGTATTTAATTTTTACCCGAATCTTGTAAAAAAAAAAAAAAGACAAAAAGTTTTGTACTTCGTTATCCCGCCAAGTTTATGTTGAATTTTCATAATAATAAAGTGATCAGAAAAATAAACAAACTTTCCCATCACCACAGTGATGGATCTGAAGCTCATTTAATAGAAGTTATAATAGATATATAAAAGACCGGAACTCAAAACAAATTTCAAGGAAAAAGGGTTTTTTTTTACGCTCAAACGTACACCATTCCTCTCTCCTAAGTTAAACCATTGGATATCTGTGTAATTCAATTAAAATTTTTAGATTCTGAGTGGAGTTGGACTTTTTTTTGGTTGTACAATGATGTTTATTTATTATTTATTTGTTTGAACAACTTTTCTACCAGAAATTTGACTCTAATTTCATGTGTATCATCTTTGTTGAAATTAAACTCGGATGGTACTTTAAGAAGATAATTTTTTGATTAAGAGTTTCTCAATAAATTGGAAAAACGGGAAAATTTACAAAATGTATTATTTTCGAATCGTAAATCAAACATGCCTTTCAAAACATGTATAAATTGATTTTCATCAGCAATGTTTAAATTTCCCCTGTATCTTCGCTATTTCTCACCTACAACAGTGGCCCACCCATCGTATGAAGTATTTCTTTAAAATTCTGATAATGCTGATGGTTGTGCCACTGTTTTAGGAGATAAGTTGTGATGAACGGTTTATAGAGTAATTTTGTTTACATGAGTATGTAATGATAAACCATTATCAACGAAAAACGATTCTGACCAAAGTATTATTAGTTATATTTTCTCCCTTGCTGCCAAGCTAACTAAGATCAACATAAATTGTACGAAAAATTGTTAGTTTCCATTAAGAAAACGATAAGGAATATCAAAAACCGGCTATTTTACTGCACTAACTAGATCAAAAATGCTATAAAAAAATCTCGTTTGCCATCTTTTGATTGGAGCAAGATTTCTGATAAAATACAACGAATTCATTTTGACTATGAAAGGTGTTGATAAACATGTCGCTTCCTTAAATCTGCCACAAATCATCGTGTTTAATTTATACGAAATCAATAAATTATTAATACCTAGTATTGTAATATTTTGCTTTTAATATCACCGGATATTATTACGACCTCACGACGTGGGGTTTAACTTTTTGTCGTTTTGTTTAACCGCATTATATTTTATATTACAGTTGTCCACTAGCTACAGCAGTATAAAGTACATAGTGATCGGGAATAAACAGGAAGTTTCAACTCCGGAAACCGTGAAATCAGACAAGACGGAAACGGCGGCCGCGTATCGCCGACAACATTCCATCTCGAAGCATTTTTATTTTTATTTTATTTTACCAGCTATACTATACACTACCTCGTAACCAGGGACCGAAAACTTAATGGTTTTAACGGTTCTGGTTAGGGTTCAGGTTTTTAATTTTTATTTAAAATTATATTATAGAATAAAATATTTAATAATATAAAAACTATTGATTAGGCTACAATATAATACATTAAATACACGTAGAGGTTGTATTATAATACAATGGAAACATAGGGACACATAAAAATATAGGTATAACTTAATTAAAAAGAAAAAAAGAACAGAAGTGATTTTTTGCTTCATCCTTTCATTTAGGTACCTACTGTGAAAGCGTATATACAATACGTGTGGTGTATGTAGTATGTACTGTGTATCTTTGTATAAAAAATTTCAAAAATCCAGTTTTATTCTAAAAATAAATTTTAAATTCGTTCATAGAAATTATCCGTTACTGATGTTATCGTGTAACATATAAATTAATATTACATACTATTATATCATGGGTCGTTTGACGGTCTTCGTCAGCCATCAAGGGCGCTGACATACGGCTGACGTGGCCAGAAATAAGGGGTTTTGGTTTTGGTTATGGTCTTTTACAAATGCAAAATACAGATTACGGTTATTTTCGGTTTTTTAATTTACACAAGGTTTTGGGTTCCATAACCGGTTCTCTTCGGTCCGGTCTCAGTCCCTACTTGTGACTCCTGAAACTCTATGGTGTATAGAATTTCCCAGTATTTTTTTAAAAAAAAGTTTTTAGTAAATGAAATAAAAACAACAATAATAAAAAACTAATAATAATAATAAAATATACGCTTGAAAAAAGTTTGTTTATAGTTTTCGAGTTCCACGCGTAAACCACTTAATATTATTATTGTAAAATCATATACTTCGTGGAGGAGAAACGCGTATGCGAGATTATAAGCTAATATTTGTACAATATATTATAATTGCAAATAGGTGTTTATTATTATATTTTTTATTAGGAAGAAAATACATTTATATTGTTACTCAACAGGAAAATACTATGGAAAACCTGAGGACTGTTATCAATTAGGTGTGGACTTATAAAAAAAGGGCACAGGATGCTACATTCATTCAGGGCAAATATCAGCAATAAGGCAAATAATACTTATGAAAGAAATTAAAAAACGCCAAATTAGGTACTTCTTACTATTTATTTATATTAATAGTTTCCGTTTTTTTTACGTTTTCCCATTTACTATGAAAATCCTTTGGAAAATCAAAAAAATGACTATCTCGATAAAATTTCCTTTCGGAAATGGTACAACACTCCATGATCAGAGTAAGGTTCCTGCTAGAAAAGTTGTTTACAGATAAAAACAAAAAATTATAAACATCATTGTAAAACAACATTCGGCTACATCCAAAGTGCGTGTCCAAAAAATAGTGATATTGGTTGACAACAGAGTTGCATGCATGGCTTTTTTTATAATATTCAATTTTTATACAATAATATTGAGAGATGGGTATGCACAAAAAAATATGTAGATCGTATTTACTTAAAAATCCAATTACTTGGTCTAAGTAAAAATAAATTTTAAATCGTAAAATAAAAAAAAAAATAAAAATATTAGCTAACGAATTTTTCGCAAAATATAAAATTACAAAAAAAATATCGCAAACAAAACTTGACTCAGTCTAAAAAACTGCGCACGTAATTCGACATAATATTGTATTATAATTTCCACACGCTATTCAGAAATTATAGTAAAACCAATACATTCCTCGCTCCGCTTAGAATCTAAAATGGATATTCGTATGTATAATAGCTATTAAACAAATTTAAATGCGGGAGATTTATCTTTCTGATTTCCCTCCCCCTCATATATACGCCACTATTTGGGAATAAGACTGATAATGTGGTAATGTGGTGGGGAGATTCGGTTAAAAAGGATGTGGAAGTTTCAGGAAATGAATCAGACAACTTTGATGATGGATAAATATAGTTGAAGAATTGGTCTTGGACGACAAACAATCCCCAAGATAGATATAGACAGATAATAATAATAACGAGTCAAATAAGATATTAATAGCATTTTATGATAGTCCTACGGTACCAATATCATGTCAGAAAAAGCCGATGTTTTTTCGTATTTAGATTTCGATCTGTTTGTATCGTCATAATATGCATGGAATGTTTGAATTCATTTTATTCGTGAATCTAGTGAAAACTTTGCGAATTATGAATATTTTGTCATCGTCAGTATAACCGGCCAACTGCGGTTAAACCCGTTGATATTCGAAGAACAATTGGTTTTTAACGGAATGTGGTTTTTTGTTGAATTTTCGGTGTTATATTATAGGTTTAGTGCTACAGAACATTAATGAAGTAGTGCAGTTTAAAACTTTACATCGTGACGATTTTAATTTCAATACAATATCGTTGGAATTCGATTTATGTTTTGTTTTCTTAATTGTAACTTGCACGGATACCGCACCTAAATAAATATTAATTAAAGGGTTGTTCGCAGGGGGTCTGTCGTGTTTAAACGAACACGATTTTATCGGTCTATGTCGTAAAATAATTATAATAATTAACAAATTATTAATGTACGTAATTGTCGTTGAAAAACATGCACTATAAATTATGGTAAAAATGTAAAATAAATAAAACAAAACTATCAACTATAGAAGGGTAACGGTAGGCCATAACAGCTATGTAATAGCTAGCTGACGACGTCTTGCTAGTAAAATGGAATATATTCGTATATATGTCTACACGTAGTTGTATAGTCTGGCTATAGTTGTCATTTCAGGCATATAGTTAGTAAAATAGCCAACTATAGTTGTTTAAAAAAGTTGCTTAGATTGGGCGAAGCACAAATAGGAGTGTTGCCAAACTGCAATAAAGTTTACTATGACGAGTACAAAATGTGTTTATTAGGACCCAATAAATTGACGGAATGTTTTTAGAGAAAAGTTAAAAAGTGAGGAATGAGGATGTTTGGGGTAATTTAATTTATATCTGTATCAACGCTAAACCATCGTTAACGAAAAGCTGTTCTGAGAAGAGTATTGTCAATCGTATTTTTGTCTTGTTGCTAAGGTAATCTAAAAATAAAAATTACGTAATACAATTTCAGTTTTTCTCATATTTTAAAAGACCACAAGGAAAATAAAAAAAAAACCAAACGGAGCCACTTCAACGCACCAATTATTTAAAAAAAACTTACAAGAATTTTCATATAAAGTTTTTGATCGGAACAAAATGTCTGGTATAGAAGTGGTACACAGAAAAGAAAAAAAAAATCCATTATAATAAAACCAATACATTTTTCGCTTCGCTCAGAAGTGGAGTTAACATCGGACGGTCCGCGCGGAATATTGAATGGTCGTTTTGAGGTAGAAAAAAAAAATACCGACAAATTATCGTAATCGCGTGCGTAGATACCTAACCTAACCTTTAATAATATTATTATTGTGTTGTCCAAAACGATCGTGCCACCGCCGAAAACGACTGAACAAATGAAAGAGCGCATTTACCACGCGTCTGTTTAATATTTTAACGCGTTTTTAAAACGATTATTTTATTGTCAGGTTTTTAGTTTTTTGCGGAAGTGCAGAGAACAAGGGTGAGAAAAACGTAAGTATGGTGAATTCCGTGAGTCCACGGCGTTTAAACACGCGCGACACGAAAACCGCACAAAGTTATTACACCACAGTACCGAGGGTGATGCGTGACCGCCGTCAATTAATCAATCGTTTCTGGTGAATCAATTCATTTTAATTTCCGCATTAAATTAACATTATTTTAATGAAAAATGATAACCAAAAAAAAAAAATCGAATCATTTTTCAGTTATTTTAAATTACGATAGCGAAAATTATGCCAGTATTTAAGTTCGAATTTAATATTGACTCTCGTTATTTGACCAACTTTTGAAATATTAATTCAAATCAAGACCACAATATTAGTATCATATTACTTAGTCGATTTATAATTTTGAGTTGGTTTTAACCGACAAAATGTATTTATTTTTTTTTTGTAACGTATATACACTTTTTTATACCACAAAAGTAATATTTCCAACAAAATCAAATATAATTAAAAATATTATTCAGTGTATGGTTCACAAAGATATAAAGTTCAATAATTATTATACCGTTCAATAGTTTCAAGTCTTTTTTTTTTTTTACACATAAAACTTAAGCTACCTACGATTTTTATATTTGAGATTCGAGATTTTTGTTATTAGGATTAATAGTACGCAGTGGTGGATTTAGGATTTTGCCGAGGAAAGAGATATCGCATTTAGAAATTGTGTTAATATATTATACAGAATACATTATACATATAAATAACTGTAGTAAGTAAGAAGTATTTAGATGAATATGTATAATTGTATAATGCAATGAAATGCACATAAGTATTACAGTGTAAGCCTCCTCTAATGGAGACATCTCCCAATAGCGGGCATTTTTGTTGGCGACGGGTACATTTTCACTACTATTCAAGTGGAAAACCTTCGACTAGTGGACTCAAATAGCGAAATAATGTTTATCTCAAAATATGCATGACTGTTATTCATTAATGTCATTAATCGTTAAAAATCAATCGTGTATTTTGTAATCTTAATCAATACTATGACTACATTATTAATTTAATCATTTAAAATAACTTTTTATTGTGATTACTGATTACATTATTTTATATTATGATTAACAACTACAAATTTCGACCGTAATCTTTAATCATTAATCAGATTACGATTTGCCCAACACTGCAAATAAATAATAATGGATACTATAAAAAAAGGGTCAAGGGGTGAGATATTATTTCTCTCTAATCTTCCGCGCAAATACGCCATTCATAGGAGGTACAATATTGTTGTGTTGGCGGTGTAGCATAAATTACTATGTTTTTTTGGTTTTTGTACTAACGGACGACGACGAGAACCGTTATTGCGAATGTTACTCGAAGGCGTCGCAGTCACCAAGTGCCGCCGCCCTGGACGACAATATAATCATCGGCTGGCAAAAACGTCGTCGTTTTCATTTTGGAAAAGTTTATTAATTACTTATCGTGACGCTTATCGGGTAGTCGGTACCAGAGTACAGTTAAAGTCAACAAAAAGTGTAAACTTTATAATTGTTCGCGGAGTCGTCTATATAGATAAAATAATACAAGTTGAATAGGGTTAAAGTTTAAAAGTCAACGCCATGTAATACACATACATATACACGATATTTATTGAAATTGTTTAATAATGCTTTACTAACGTGACAACTGTAGTTGCTTGAAAAAAAAAAGAAAGTATCTTTAAAAATATTGCCGTTGTCGGACATATTTTTCGTTTACTGTTTTATAGACTCCAATCGAAGTGAGGAACGTTTGTGACTTGTTCTGTAGTGTCTTATTCTCTTTCGTCTTCATCTCAGCTATTCTGGATTGGCCACCCTCGTCTTAAATTTTCACTTGAATCGATCCCACAAATCTTTCTCATTTAAACCCGTCGTCCTTATATCATTCTCAATCGCTGCCTACCATCTCTTTTTCGGCCTTCCTCTCTCCGTTATTCCTATATTCCTCCAACATTACTTATTTATTTTCATTACAATTTTTACTGCTTATGATTCCTTTCTCCCCATGATATGTCCATACTTGATGAACCAACGCTGTCAATAGGAAAAAACTGCATTTGTTTGAGTCATATTATAGATACAACAAAAACTTTAAAACTTTTATATTATTTTAACGGATAAAACAATATAAATTTAACAAATGTAAAAGAAAACAAAAAAAATAATATTTTGGCAGGTTATTTGAAACGATGAACTTTGTGAATAAGCGAACGCCGGACTGGGGAGCATGAATTATTTAAAATCGAATTTCTCCTAAAAAAAGTTTTTTTTATAATATTTTTCACGCGTGTTCTAAAAAGTTCACGAATGAAATGGGCAATACAATTTTCTCTCGATATTGGATTTTCACCGACGATGCATACTTGAGTATATATAATTTTTTTATTTATTCATCTTCAAAACACAGTAATATACAGAATACAACAAAAAATTCGAAATTAGTCGCATAATATGGTGAAACAAAAGAAAGCTTTAAAAATAAACAAAAGATCAAATCGAGACGTATTCAAAAATGTCCTGGAAGAAACCAACTCGACTAAGAACAATAGCTGACATTGAAATCTTAGAAATAAAATTAACCAGCGGTATTATTATTGCGGCTAAAAAAAATAGCAACACCTGTAGCTACAACAAAAACGTCGAGAGAGAAAACATGGTATACGGTATTCAACGGATAAAACTGAATGGAACCGTGTAAGAAAATTTCTTCATGACAAAATCAAAGAAAGTAAAAAAATCATACTAGAGTGCAATGGATAATATCGATTATTTTTTATGGAAAGCCGCAAGTTACATGAAGAGATCTTGTGTTCAGGTATCACCCATCTGCAAAGAAAATGGTACGTGTGCTCGTAAGGAACAAGATAAAGCCGAATCATCTATTCGGCACCTAAAATATGTATTTTTACAAAATTCCATTGATGCTGAGCTTGACATTGCGCAACACCAAAAGTTTAATAAAAAAATTAATTTCACTCCGTTAGAAATTGCCTAAGAATTAAAGAAAACTTAAACTCCAAAACAGCTCCAGGATATGATGAAATAAGTCTAAAAATATTTAAAGAGCTTTCAAAAAAGGTCATCATTTATCTTACGCACACACACAGTGCTATTTTGCGCATGGAATAAGTTTCAGAACAATGGGAATAGGCACAAGTGACCATGTTGCTCAAACCGGAAAAACCACCAGAAGATGTCAGATCATATCGACCGATATCACTTCTTCTAAGTTTGTCTAAACTTTTAGAGAAACTGCTACGCCTATAACCAACTTAAGAAAAAAAAAAAAAATCTTATACTGGAATATTAGTATTGATTCCGCCACAAACATTCGACAATTGATCACAAGAAACAACAAATTATTGGAAGTTTTGGAAGTTATAATACCTATTGAAATTGAGTGGTTATCGTTTTCGGTACTGTGAATAATGTTCGTTTCCAACTAATCTTTTTTTATCTATATAAATTATAGTTTGAGAACCATTTAGTTTTACTCAAGAGCCACAGGGTTATCGTTAGAGGTGATTTTCATTGGCACCCAAATTTTTACTTATTATAAATTTTATAATTAAATTTGTATTACAAATTTGGACATCAATTTTGAATGTTTCTATTAACCACATACTCAATTTTTAAAATTTTTTTAATGTAATTTTTGTACACTATTTAATAAATTGCATTCAAGAAATATTTTCCTTAGTACATACACTTTGAGTGCGTTTAAAGACTTAAGACGTCTTTTAACCTTTTTTTTTTTTAAGTTGGTAGTAAACATAACTTTAACGTATACAGTAGTTTATGTACTTCAATATCAAACGGTTTATCCCGAATACCGTTATCCTCCTATGGTTCTCCGTCCACAGGTTATAGATTTATCATCATTATGACTAGGAGTTCTCAAACAGTAATATAGGCTGCAATAGATTTGGCGAAAACGATGGGCGATTAGAAACCGTTGCAGAACAACACGTTGTTCAGTGAATATTCCCGTTTACCGACATTTCTTCTGATTCATTATCGTTATTCAGAAAAACGAAAATTCCCCAGACACATTTGTTCACTCCTGAAAATACTCTCGGCACCAGAACAATAATTCTGGTTGAAGATTTGATTTCAAACACAAAACAACGTCTTAGTAAAATAAATAGGTACACTTTACAGTGATTTGTTCGGTGTGTGGAATTTGTTTTTCTTACAGTTTTCGGAATACCGACGTCCGAAAAATGAACGTGCTGAGTAGGTAAAAAAAAACTCGATAAGTTTATGTTTCCGTTACGGAGAAATCCGTCACCACCAGGTATACTCATACGAAGATTTAGCAGCAGAAGTTTGAAAGCCTGTTGGAAATTTGTATTTTTAATAGTCGGGTATATTATAAGAAAGTTTTATTATTATGATACTCGTATTTTACGACACACGATATTTTATCGGAACTTTTAGTATAGTGCAGCTGCGTATTATAATTTCGTCAAGTATTTATTCGGTCCTATCGAGGCGATTGTTATACTATTATACTTAAATGTTATACCTCTCGTCTACACTGACGTATAAAATGAGCAGAACTGACGACGATGGCGGAAAACTTTTCGTATAATAAGTTTATGGTTCGTGGATCCGAAGCCGTAGTAACTATTTATTTCTATGGCCGAATATTCCGAAACTTCACTAACTATACACGACTATATCAATAAGTCCGACGGTTTTTCTCAAAGTGAAACTTATTATCTTTAAGGTCAGAATAAAATAATATTAAAATTCTTCTTATTCGCCTTAGGCCTATATCCGTTTATTATCGAATCTTTCGGTATTTAAAATAACTTATCCGATTTCAAGTGTTTGAATATTTTTTTTAAATTTAAAGTAATATATTATACGAATATAATGATATTTGTAATTTAGTTGGTGGTAATTATAACTTTTTTAAGTGTCGTTAACAGTTAACGTTCTATATGGCTTTCCTTAGTCATCTGAATAATATCTAATCGGACTGCGTTGAAAACTCTCTCAATTTTTTTCCACATTATCTTCAGATTCCCGAGGTCACCTTATGCATTTTCCTTCGCACAACCACTCAGTTTCTAAAAACTGGTTATACCGTCGACGGATGTTCTGAGCAGTTGATGCATCGATCTCGTAACGACGACGAAAGTCACTTTGCACTATTTGTATCTATTTAGATTTGTGCCGCCATTTATTTGTGGTGATTGACTTATCGTAATAATTTAATTAATTCAATAATTAATTAATGTTTAATCGTTAATTTAATTTATCAATGTTATTTCAAAACTTGGGATTTATCTTTAATAGTTAATATATAATTTGATAAAACAGAATTTAAACCAATCATTATAAAATTAATTTGAAACCATATCATTTTTAATAACACTGTAGTTTTTGTGGACCGTGATTTTTCCGTTTTTAGAATCTCTTCGAGTCCACATTGAATCATATATTTTAGTTTCCGTTCGTCAACATTTGCGCTGGACCATGTGTTTTCCCACCCGTTTAAACCTAAATCCGAAATTACGATTTTTTTTCTTGATGCAAGTTTCGATCGGCTAACATAATTATTGTGTTCTGCAGGACAATCATAAGTAAAAGACTCCGAATCCACTTACTTATGACGACATTTACAAATACTCGTGCTACCACCAATGTATTCGCGCATTATATAATCCGGGCGAACTATATAATTATAAACTTTGTATGGCCAATTGTTTTGTTCTTGACTACGTTATTAATTATTACTCACCTATTATAACTAGACGTTTCTAATTAGGTTATAGATTAGGCAAACGTGAAGCAAAGCAAGTTATTCATGATTAATTAACAATTAAATTGATTAAGTTGAGTTGAATTAAATCAAGAAAAAAAAGCCTTTGGTTTAACATTAACATGTAGCTGCAATTGAAAAAATGTTAAACTAATTCGTTTTAAAAACTTAAAAAACGGTTAAAAAAAAATAAACCACACGAGCAACACAACTCCGCCACTAAAGTCAAATTTTCTCCCGTCTGACTTGTTGCCGTTAGAATATTTAATTTTTTTTTTTAACGATAAGGAATTGAACGAAACAAGTTTTATCAAAAGAGTAAAAGCAGTTGTCAAAATCTTTGTTAACATTGAAACAGGCGGCGAGGTCGGGGGTGAGAGTTTATCTTCTAAAGACACATCCCCGATAAAAATTATATTTATGAGTATATAAGTATTTTAACCGTATTACATAAATAATTTAAATGATTCTGGGTAGCTTTTGAAATTATATTTTTCGAAAATCATATATGTCTACTGCGAAGATCTGTAAAATGTTTAGAAAAAAAAAAAAAAAGAATGACCGGCGCGAGAAAGTTTTTCCCTAGAAGAGAATGTATAATATAAATTGTTTTTGTTTATTATATTATAAAAACCCGTGAGCTCCGTCGGTTCTAAGTGCTATTATTATTATTATTACTATCGCGTTGAGAGTTCGCACTTTATATTAATTCCCCAGAGTTTCATTCGGACGATTAATCAATTAGAGTTTAACGGGAAAACTATAATACCCGCGTAGTGGTAAGGTGCAGTCGTAAAAATTGCGCTCACGTCAAAACCCACGCCTTTTCAATGCGAATAACGCGTTTGTTTTGGATCCTTTTCAAAAAGTCGACACGTCGTCACCGAACCTTATTTCTATCCGCGTTTAATATAATACAGCTTTTATCACGAAATCAACTGAAACGTTTTGTTGAAAGGTTTCGCTAGGAGGGGGTTTTTTTTTTTGAAGAGGGGGACGGTTAATATTCTATTTTTCTATATTTTCCTACACGGTTGAAATTCAAATAATACTGCATCATACTGTCATGATAACATTAATTTTAGAACTAACGGGAGCAAAGTTTGTAGAAATGTAGACCGTTATAGGTATAGGTATTTGGTGTAGTCACTCAAGGAAGTCGGCCAAAAAGATAACTGCAGTTGAAGCTATACAGGCACTGATGGATATGAAACTCATATTGACATAAAATATTATTCTAAAATTGTATACATTATTACCATTTTAATTATTTTAACCTAGTTAATAAATAATTTAACACACGATAGAAACATCATTATTATCTATACAGATAAAAAATTCGAAAATTATATCACATTTGTTAGCAATTGCTAATGTTAGTATTTTAATATACTATATAATTACATAAATATTCAACAAAAATTTCAATTTTCACGATTATTTTTACTATGATTATAATAAGAAATAGTCAGAAATACTTGACACTTTGGGTGGGCCACTGTTGTAGGTGAAAAGTTGGAAAGATAGGATATAGAGGGGAATTTACTTTATACCTGACACCATTGCTGACGAAAAACGATTAATATGAAAAACAAATTATTATAATATAACGTTGAATTTATATGGAGCACTGTACTTAAATAATATTTTGTATAATATTAATGCTCGTTGAGATTTCGTTGCTGCAAATTTGGTAACCATTTGATAAAAATCGAATGATCTAAGTATATCACTTTCAATACGTAAAAGATCAAGACTCAATAGTTGGCTTTGTGTCATCGAAGTTCATAAACTGTTTTTGATTAATTTCATTTTTGAAAGTGACGGATCTCCGCTAGAGTTTGGCACCGTCAAGATTAAATACATACGCAACACTATTTCTACGTTAGTCTATTGTATACATTATGTTGGTTAATAATCCTGTGTAAAAATATTTCCCACTGTCCATTATGTATACGCGTTTCTTTATACATGCTGTCAAATTAATTGAACTATATGAATTAACTACCATTTGAAGATTCTAAATCACTGGTGTAAATACTAACAAGGCGGCTTGCAGCAGATTGTAGCTCAGAAGTTTCTAAATTCTCAATTTTTTTTTTAAAAAAAGCATTTTGTGTAGTAAGCAGTTATCTTTTTGGATAATGATAATACCAATAAATTGAGAAATATTCTTTAAAAAATAAATTTATTATATTTTATTTGATCCACGCGTAAATGTAATAAAAACGCTTAGATTATTCACAGAAAGAGCGACTATTAAGATAACTATTTTCATTGAATTTGTGCTAAAAAAGAACCCACTCTGTTAAAAATAGTGATTAAATCATAATTTATAATTTTATTAAATTTTACATTTTAGTTCCCTGGATCATGATACAAATTTTAAGCGTACACTGTTATTTCTTAAGCATTTTTATAAAAAATACGTAAACGCTATAAAAACCCCCACCCTGGAATTAATACTAATAACCTGCCTAATGATAATAAATTGTGCTAACCTAAACAATTATTATGATTAATGTGTAAATGGCAATAATGTGTAGGAGCAATTATCAAATAAATAACAGAATCGAGGGATTATGTGTATCCCTGTCCTGTCCATCTCCATTCATAAGAAGCAAAAAAACCTCACAATATTTGGACTTATTAATCTATGGAGATCCAACATGAGTTGAATTTTTCGAAACCCTTGGGGTCCGAGAGACTGGGGCCCTTTCCCCCTCAAATCCAGCCCCGTTTATACCGGATATGTCGAATCGTTTTTGATCAATTTATGTATTTATATACTCATTTATGTATTTATCTACGTATGTAAAATGTGTTTTTTGCATGAGTTTAAGATATGCACACGCACACGCACGTGAAAAAAATCGGTTGAACGTATTTTATTTTTATTTATTTTTTTATGCCAGCAGTACACATTCAGCGAGACTTTAGATGAGACTCTCGACCAGCATAATAGTAAATAAAAACAGTTCGCTGCAAAATTGAAAAAAACGAACTACATTTTTATTTTAATAGCGTATACGATAATAATATAATAATATATGCAATATATTTTATAGGCGAGCCAATTTAAAGTATTGATTGTTCGATACAGTATAGTTGATATATATATATATATATATTATGACCTAAGTGTATGTATATTTATTGTTTATTATATTCGATGACAGTGGGGAGGAATGATGGGGGAGAGGACCCCACTCGCACGACGAGATGACGGTAAAATATTCTCTTCCCTATATATACTGTTATATTCGCTGTTTATTCTAAACTTTTTATTCGTCGTATGTTCACGAAATATTGTTTACGCGATAAATAAATTAGTTCCGTACTGGAAATATAGATAAAAATAAAACAAAAACACGTACGCTATACCTATATATTTTGTGTTTACATTCCTTTCATAGTGTATAATATACATAAATAATAATAAAAAAAAAAAAAAAGAGTTGGTACTGAGGACGGGAACGGCCACTGTTGTAGGTGACAAGTTTGGAAAGTAGGATACATAAGGTTATTTCATTTATTTCTGTAAACAACGATAAACCATTGCTGACGAAAGACGATTCCGAGCGCAGTTCGGTATTACATAATTTGAAATGCCGTAATTTTTTTTTGCGAAAAAAAATTTTAAACTTTCGTTTAAATTAAATTTCAAAATGCTTATTGAAAAAAATTTTACCACGTCTAGGTACGTCCAGTATAAGTATTATTACCGAGTTTCGAGTCTCTACGTATATTTATAACCGAATTACAACAAAATAATTACCAAAAATTTAAATTTCAAAAAGTTCAAAAGTGGCTCAAAAGTCATGATACCATAAGAAAGTAAATAAAAAAAAGGCAACGAAAAGGGTTTCATGTGATTTTTCGATTAAATCATTTTTTCTGGTAGTAAACGTCGTCCGTGTTTTTACAAAATAATGAAATCGTAAAATTGTACGTTTTCCTACGCTTATTTCACCTAAGTGCTTTTATTTAAAAAATTGCATCGAAAATCAAAAAAACTACTTGTTTAAAGTATAATCTAGGCAACTTGACAACAAAGCTTTCAGAAAAATTGCTACACGTAAAAATCGGAGCAATTTTACTAGGAAAAACGTGTCCACAGACTAGAAGAAAACAAAAAAAAAAACATCTTAGTAAAACCAATAGCTCCGTCACTGCGCTCGGAATCTAAAATTGTATTATTTATAAAATATACTATCCACATTTGTATACTATATTATGCTATGTGTATATGTGAAAATGAAAATCCTTGTCACGGGTTGGCTCCGAAACTACTCATTCAATCGTCATGCGGTTTTTTTTTTCAAATGATAGAGTAACATCGCGGAGAAGCTATTACGCCTATTTTCGATTCTCTAAGTCAATTGACAATTGAGTTATTAATTGGTAATATAATCGTATGATTGTAAAATCGTATAATATCAATATGTGCGTAATTTGTGCGTATGTGCCGTAATACAAACTGTCCGCGTGAAACGTTGGGCGGGACAGCTGGTATTATATAGGCATAGCAAGTTAAAAAGTAAAAAACGAAACGAAATGTTATTTTTAAGAGGACTTGATTATCCCTTTCCCTCCCCCCTCATAATTCGATTGTAAAACTGTTTTGCACTGAAAAATTAGTCCAATATATTTCTATATGTTTCCTAAATTTTCGATTTTACGCTTACAACTGTAGCACATCCATAGCAATATCAGATTTTTTACGCATTTATTTTTAATCCCTCGTTCTATTTACAGTTGTTCAGTGTAGGGTCGAATTTTTAAGTTCTTAACTTTTAAACGACTTTAAACTGAAATTTAAAAATTCTCTATATAATTTTAAAGGAACTCGTCAAATCCAGTAGATATACCCTATAATACATAGTTTAACATAAACGGTTTATTATTTGAACGAACGCAAAAAAAAAAGTTTCAACAAATACGCATCACTCGAAAAGATTGCAAAATAAAAGGGAAAAAAAACGATAGAATCCGACCGAATGTTTTTATACTACTTCATTATTAATCGACTCGAAACTTAATGCGTTTTTGAACGATTTTTTTTCAAATATTTTTTTAATAATATTGTCTTGTAAATTTAAGGGCGATACAAATTATCGAAACGATATATACGTTTCGGCGTTTCATTATATAGTTTGCACGATTTCGGAAGGGTGTTTCGTAAAGTTTATAGTCTCGAAAAAAAAAAGGGGAAAAAAAACTATTCAATCATCTTCAGCGTAAACTTTGCGTACTTCCCGCCTTCAAAGTCCCCGCGAAAGAAAAACATCGTAAAACAATAATTTATCTATACACAAAACCTACACCATTATCGCCATCCGTATTGATGCGCATTATATTTAGCGATTATCATATTATATTCGCGTGGTTCGAAATTTAATTTCCAGAACATAATAATCCGGATCGCTCAATTTCCAATAGCGATATCAAACGATGTTAAGTGGGTTTTTGAAGTTACCTAACCCCTGCGCCGCACCGAATGACCATCGAATCCCGATATGAATACAATGCAGTGGCCCGCAATTTATTATTATTAACAAAATCCAGCGATTTTCTAGTAGAATTTTAAATGCGTTCGATTTCTGTTTTAAACCATTGTGTGATAACAATGTAAGCTTTATTTTACCATTGTTTTTGAACGCTTTCTCCTCTTTCAACTTAAATTAGTATAGTCAATAGATTTTTAAATTTAAAGCCTTCTTTAACACAGATTTTTATTTAAAATATTTTTCTAAACATTTTGATATTGATAATACTATTCGGTCGCGTCGACCATTTAACCATAATAGTTTAAAATTCAGATCGGAAGAGTGGGGAGAAAGGATTATTATCAATTTGTCATCTAAAATGACGGACATATTTCGCAAGGCGGGTGAGCCACTGTTGTAAGTGAGACGTTGAAAATGTAGGATGTAGAGGTAAATTTAATTTTTATCTGTACGTAACAAACGATTGTTAACGAAAAACGATTCAGAGCGAAGTTTGATTGTACATGTTTTAAAAGAAAGTCATATTTACAATTTTCGTTAAATTTTGATATTAAAATTCTGTTAAAAAATACTACATTAAATTTTCAAGCTTTTCTGTTTGTTTTAAACATTTTATCCACAGAGTCCCTACCAAGTACAAATTATGTAAAAACTATTAAAATGTCAGTTTGTGCTATTATAAATTGCTCGAAAATGGCACAAATATTTTGATAATCTTACTACACTTAAAAAGTGAAGTATGAGATTTCAAGTCTACGAATATTTTAACCTAAATCATAACATAAAAACAAAATTAAAAATAATATTTTTATTATTTTTGGAAATTTTCCCTTTTTCCTGCGTTTTTCCCTATTATTATGAAAACTACCGGAAAAATCAAAAAATGACCTTCCTAAAGTGCTAATGAAATAACATTTTCTTTAGGAGGTGAAGTTATATATTGAAGCAAGATTTCCGTTAGAAAAGTTGTTCACAGAAAAAAAAGAGAAGAAAAAAAAATGACATTATTGTAAAACTAATACCTAAATTCTCGCTATACTTCAAATGTGAAATTGATAGTATTACATTTTAAGCTTTAGTAACTAAAACTTTTTGTATACGAATCTGTGTTTAAAAAGGGAGGTCGATATTTGAAAATCAAAAGTATTTACATGGCGTAATACGAAAATCTGACACCTGATATTACTTTTATTCTGTTCAATATTTTGAGTTTTTAGATTCTGAGCGGAGTAAGGAATGCATTTATTTTAAAATGATGTTTATTTTTTTTCCAGGGGTAAATGGAAAAAACGGGAAAATTTACAAAATCTATTATTTTCATAAATATATATCCGAACTCCGCTTAGAATCGTTTTTCATTAGCAATGATTAATCGTTGTTTACAGATTGACAGTAAATTCTCTTTTATATATTCTTAACTTCTCACCTACTATAGTAGTCTGCACATCGTGCGAAGTATGTCCATATATTTTATTCATGCAATTATTTCTTGGGCTAAACAAATTTTTTTTACTAACTCCAAAAATGCCATTTTCTAAATATATTTTGAAACAAAATGTCATTATTATAAATATTTACTAATTATTAATTTTTAAGTTTCTTTAGTTCTTTAGAGTTTATAAAAATAGCTAATTTAATAGTGGTAATGAAAAAAATTTAAATATTTGTAAACTTTAAACATTTTTAAAAAATTGGCAATTCGTTTAGTTTTACCCTACATTATGAAAACCGGTTAAAAATAAAAACAAATTACCTTATCAATACACAAACTAGATCTGAAATTCAACGAAAACGATCTCATTGCATTTTTCGACTGCAGTAACATTTCTGGTAGAAAATCCGCTTAAATAAAAACTTCACATCTTAGCAAAACCTTACGTTATGCTCAGAATTCAAAATCGACACAAACCTCGGACAGCACCGTTTACCGTCCGGCGGTGGTCCACGGTGGCACCGGTTGGGACCATTGCCGTAAATATTAGCGTATACCTAGTGTGACCTCTTGTCAATGGCGTAATGAATAATAATGATAATATTAGTTACGAAATAATTATTACACGACGCGAATAATTTCGAGGGACTGCGCGATTATTGCTGCAGCGCTTGAGGGCACCGACAACGGTGACGACGACGGCGGCGTTAAAACTATTAAAACTACGTAACAATGAAAAGTTTTACGGCGTTTATATTATCACGTCTTTGTCGGGAAAACGCTGAATCGCAAGACGGCACCGATACAATACGCGGGAATTATATCGTTATTTTTTTTGATTAAGTACAATGCAGAATTATTATAATTAGTTTTCGACAATACCACTTTAAAACGAATTACTTGGTGTTAGCTAGATGCGTTTCAAATAGATAACACACAATCGCAATTATACATTGTAGGTTATTATTAGATTTATATTATACGCGGACGGGACCGGATTAAGAGTTCACCGGGCCTGGAGTCTGGTAGTCTAATTGCCAATCGATCCTTACACGATTGATTATCGATAACTCAATTTTATATCTTTAACAGAAAAACAGTACAAATAGAAACGATTGTACACAATGATTTCTTTAAACAACGTTTAATTTGTTAGGTGTTTTAGGGGATCACGGTGGATTTGTATTTTCTGAAAATAAATAATTGTCACGTGTTCCGTAGAGAAACGACGCAAGTTGATCACTGTAATTTTGGTTTAGGGCTGCAGTGGCGTAAGTTGGTCTCGATTTCTGGCGATGCGGTGAATTATTCTTTATTGAGTTAAGAAATAAACAGATTTGAAATGTTACGTTACTATTAGTTTTGTGGGTGAAACGACTACGTAATTATGATTTTCAAACGGCAATCTACATTTAAAATTCCATAAAAATACGGCGTATCAGTTCAAATTTCTGTCAACCTGTCGCCGAGATATTCTATTTTTAAGTTTGTGGTATAGTATTAAATTCAAATTTATTCGGACTAAAAATAAACTTATTTTTAAAATTTTCAATTCAGGTTGCCATTCGAAAATAAAAATTAGATAATTGTTTCGCCCACCTCTTCCCAAATGAGAATGATAAAAATAACGGTAATGCAAAATTGCAACGCTGATTTTTCTTAAATTATCGAGAAAAAAATTGTGTCAAAAAAGTTCATACTTTTCGAGATAATCAGTGTACCCCGTTAAATAGAACACCTTGTACACTTTATAAATCGTATTATGGAAACCATAACGCAACACGCGGGAGACCCAGCTGTATCGAAAAGACTATACCATCGATTAACCGAATAGTCGGGGAAAACACACATCTCACGGTATATTTACGAACATAATAATTACACACAGGGACCGCCTCTCTGTAATATTTATTTGGTAGGTATTCTGTGGATAAAATTTTAAGACCAAACAGAAATACTTGGAAGTTTAACTGGAGATTTATTAAGTCGATAGTGGTCAACAAGAAAAGGTTGGATTTAAAATAATTTGTTGCTCGTAAATAAAAGTTAAATAAATTAAAGTAAAAAAAAAAAACGACTTAAAATGGAATAATAAAAATATCGATTCTTATAAAAGGTAAATTTTTTATAACTTTAGTCAAGTTTACAAATAAATATAAATAAAATTTTTTTATTACATATAAAACTAGTTTTTTATTAGAGTTGAACTTGGTTTCACTGATTTATTGCACAACCTCCCCAACTATACAACTGTACTGTAAAAAAGATTTGTACAAAGCTTGATAAATAATACGCATCATGTCAACGGGTAAGGTTTTTTTTTTTAATTTGTACATCTTAAAGTCAATCGAACTTAAGCGCATAACTAAATTATTAATGTGTACATTTTACCACAGATGACAATCTAAAATTAAACCCAAGTTTATTTACCCTCTATTTACCCTTACTATTTTCGGACAACTATGACAAATATAACTAATAAATATGCAGGGCTCGGGATTTTATGCACTTAAAATCCACAAAAACCCGAGCACAAACGTTGAAAATAGTTTCTAACACGCAATAAAAAAAAAAAACGATAGCAAATATTTTCTTCTGACGGCTCTAATATATAAAATATGTTTTCCGAGCACTACAAAAATGATTAACACACAGTTTTTAAATTTAATATTTGTATTATAAAAAAAATGTTGTGTTACCTTATCGTTTCTGTAGATAATTGTAGACAATTGCAATTAATGGTTAAAGCCGTTATGAGGGGGAGGGGAGAATTTTTCACCTCTCTGAGCCCTCTATCATTTTTGATTCTTAAAATATATTTTCAGGGCTCTTTTAAGGCTTTAAGTACGTTTCTCTAGATTATAAATTTCGTGAGCCCTGATTATATGAATGCATTTTTATTTTATTGATTAGCATAATGGGCACATGTCTGGTAGTAAAAATAACAAACACAGTTATATTTATATTCAACGACGGATTTTATCATTCAATTTATTATACATTTGATTGATTCCGATATGTGCTTATTTTTGTATTGTTTCCCACAAGTAACAAATAAAAAATGCATGTGTCACCTGCATACGTAACTATTAATCCTTCTATATTTAAGTCACATATTTCATGTTTATACAAAACAAACAAAACCAGCCCTAGCACACTATCTTGTGGTACACCAAAATTAATTGGGTATAGTTTCCATCTAGAAATGTCTATTTTTAATGTAATTTATTAAAATTCTAAACAAATTTCTAAAAGAAATGAATGTTTTAAAAAATGTTATATACTGTCTATTATTATTCATGTGAATTTCATTTTTCCGACTTCTGAAATTCGCTTTGAAATATAATAAAATGGTAACTGTGAAACTGTAAGGGTTGTGGCCTTTGTGGAAAGGATGTAAAAATTCGTGTGAAAAAAAAATGTTTACCGAACTCGCATAATATTATGTTGAAGTATGCGAACTCAATAGCGATAGTAAAAAAAAAACGTTCAATTGAAGAATCTGAAAATTTCGAGTCCAAAGAGAAAACTGCGCACGTTTTAAAATCTATTATACTAAAAGCCTCTTGGTCGTGTTATCGCTTAGGTTTAGATTCGAAATTGGCCTTTGAGAGACATAAAAAACCAAAATCGAAAAAATAAGGCCGCCTAATACGACTCACCTTGTGTGAAATCGGGTTTTTTTTAACGAAGTATTTTTTGCGTTCAGGAGCGAGGGAACAACCGATTTGAAACGGAAAATAAATCGATAAAAGTACACGGAAAATAATATGAATATTTTTTTCGTATAAATATACGATCCGGTAATATTTGTACATTCGAACGAAAAGCCGAAAAAACTCGTTTGGTTTTTTTTCGCATGAATGCAGCGTACCATAATATGCTTATTCATTCGTTTATAGAATTGTACGCAGGTAAAATTATACGGTGCGAGGGAACGGCAATTTCGAAAAAGTTCAAAATCTCGTTCGATTCGTTTGAATAGTATTGTCATACGCGATACGCCGGTATTAAAATATATACAGCGAGCTATTTTAGATTCGGAACGTATCGAAGGATCTATTGGTTTTACTATGATGAGTGTTTCCTTTTTTTTTGTATTTTTTAAATTTCTCTTTCATATTTTCCGTCTTTGAACTACTTTTCTACAAGAAATCTTGTTCCCATGCGTAGAGCGTAGCACCTTTTTTGAAAGGTGGCGCACTGAGCCGTTAATTTTTTGACTTTCTAAATAGGTTTTCAAAATAACCGAGAAAAACCCGAAAGAAAATTGTAAGTAAAACGGCAAATATTTACGGACGGCCGCGACCGCGGCGTTGCCGTTTTATTTCACAACATACGGTAATTATGTTATTATCGTAAATAATGCAAAACGTTTTCTCATGGAAGATGTATGATGGGTTTCAGTGCCAACTTTTTCGTTTAACTTGAAATTGTGAAAAGATTAATTTATAGCAATAATTCCAATCAGTGACGTGTGGTAATATTGGAAGCTGGGTAAGCGCCAAAAAAAAAAAAAGAAGAAAAATCAACCGTTACTTATAAAGGTAAATTATTAGTTATTAAGGTAAATAAAAAAAAAAAAAAAAGTTTTTTTTATAATGTACATTGCACATTATTTATTTACCTATTTAGAAGTATAATTCATTCGTCTATCTTATTTTATAAATTCATTGGTAATTTTATAAATTAAAACTTAAATGATATCTATCAACCGGATAAGATAACATTATGTGACGCCTTGTGTTCGTATACAGTAATAATAAGATTATTCAATTATTTAATTACTTAAATTACTCTTAAAATACTAAACAACCCTCTCAACCTCGCCTCCATTTTACAGACCAAATCTGAAACTACTATCAAACTTGTGATTAATTTTATTTTGGGGGCCGGCTTCATTATGTAGAACATTTTGTGCTAACATTGTGTTGCTGTATTACTTTTTGTACTTTTTATTTTATATTTTATTTTATTACCATTAAGTTTTTTTAAAAAAAATAAAAAAAAATCTTATGAAGATGAGTATGTTATATCTAAAATAAAAAAAACCTATATTGTTATGACATATTTCCATTAACAACGAATTAAATAAATTTGTTTTTCTACCCATTTGAAAGGCGTTTACATTACTTGCTCTGATCGCACGCCACTGATTTCAATACTCGATGAAAATCGTAAATATCACGGGCTTTCAAAACACATACAACCGAATTTCCCGCTGAATCGATTTTCGTTAGCAACAGTTTATCGTTTCTTACAGATATAAATGAAATAACCTTATGTATCCTACCTTCTAAACTTCTCACCCACAACAGCGGCTGCTCCCGTCCCCAATATCAGCTCTTCTTTTTTTTTTCTGTTAATTTCACATTGATTTTTCGTCGATTGTTTAATATATCATAAACGCCGGAGGGCACGTATAATGATAAATATTATACGCGGTTGTTTGCGAATTGACAAATTGTAATCTTACAAATGGACTTTGTTTATTATTATTATTGTTATTATTTATTTCGTTATTAGTGGCGGAACGGCGCCGCGGAAAAAGCTATTTCGTTATTACACTCAACGTGAATAATTCAGTGCATCCGCGATGATCGTGTGTACATATATATTTTAAAAAATACATACGCATTAAAACATTAAAAAAAAAAAAAAATAAATACGATATGACGCGTTTGCTACGGTATAATATTTTACACGCTGGAATAATCTTCGAAACGCTGACGCATGTATTACAATGCAATAGTGTTGCAATGCATCCGTATAAGTTTTCGAATTTCGTTTCCGGTACCTTTCCATGTTTAGTAATATTATATTTTACAAACGTCGAAAACTCTGCTACCAACTGCTATACGGTTTCGTCCATATGGTCAATAGTATAAGGTAGGTATATTTTGATTGCAAAAAGAGTTATTTATTATTAATTTTACTGCGATCGATTTCGGGAGTTTTTGTTTCGACTGTACTATAAATCATGACGAATGCAAAGTGTAACGATCAGAATTAAAATTCCGTAAGTTGATCGCAGTAACGATGATGGTGTTCAAATTAGTGGATGGCGATTTGTATCGGTTGGGTAACATAGCGGGAAAAATTTCAAAAAGTGTTTAAGTTTTTACCAGGACTCAATTTACATTATGTGAAGAAAGTTTTTTTTTTTTAGATTTGACTATAATTTCCGAAAACGAAATTGGAATAAGTACGTTAACGGTATTGCGACTCTTCTTATCTGCAGCCGGACAAGGAGTAGTAATAAGATGACGGGCTTTTATGAAAAACCGTAAGGTAAATCGATGAAAATGTCGAACGAAAAATGCATTATGTAGTTCTAGATGTAAAATATGATGATTCCAGTAGCCAATCTTGCATAAATAAATATTATACGTACAATATTGTAATAACACATAACAAATATATTATGTAAATATGTATAATAATTATTTCAGTCTTTGTAGTAATATTTCATAATAATAATAAATTGTAAAAATATCCTATTATTAAGCAAGGGAAAAAAAATCAAGCGATAAGTTGGAAAAATAAGACGTTCTAGGATAATGGGGATGGGTGTAGTCACTGTTATAGGTAATTTAAAGTATACATGTAAGCAACGATAAACCATTGCTTATGAAAACACGATTCTGAGTGGAGTTCAGTTGATAGTGATGCTTTGTCAACAATATATATGCCATATTATAATAAAATAATTATGTAGGCTCTATATATTTTTTTTAATAATATTTGTTTAATGTTGTATCGATTTCTCTACGTTTTTTATCAGTTTTTCACATTTGCTGAGAAAACTCCGGAGAAAATCGAAAAATAACCTCTTTAATGTACCACCCCACACTGATTTTCTTTCAGAAAAGTTGATGCACGTGAATATCGGAGCAAGTTCTCAGGTTAGAAAAGTTGTCAACAGAAAAAAATAAAACAATATTAAAAATAATTAACATCTTCGTAAAACCATAAGCTTCTTCGCTCCACTCAGAATCTAAAATGTGAATGCGGACATTTACCGAAATGCTAGTTTCATCGGTATTCTTATTTTTACCGTAATTTTTTTATTAACACGTAATATACGTGTTTATTAAATAAAAACCATGACCTATTTTATTATTATTATTATTTTTTTTTTTTTTAGGTACCATCAGGTCATTTTGCAAATTTAAAGTTGGCAAATAGCAACCCTAACCCACATACCACCACTGACAATTATTAAATACTATATACTGGGTACTGCTGCATGCATATAAGAATTACAAAATATGTAAATATATACGCAATATTGTTAATGGGCGTTAGGTTAATGGGCGTTAATGTTCCCTTTGAATTCGTACAATGCAGTATATTATTCCAAACATTTACATTGTCACTACTTATAAAAACAATTTTATAGTGTACAGCAATAATACACATAATTAAAATTCCCATTTCGTTGGTCATATGCCTATAGGATTTATCAAATTTCATGTTACATACAAATTTCTCAGGGAATACTTATTTTTTTCAAACAATTGTTTTTGTATCCAATTTTTCAAACCATAATTTATATTATAAAAAGTAACATTGTTCTTATTATTATTTTTTTCGTGGGGGGGGGAAGACACGTTGAAACGATTACTTTCTTTTGATTTTCAAACAACAAGCTGCATTAAATAAATTCGAAAAAATTATACGAATAGATAAGAGTATTAGTTGACATTCGATAACCCCTGTATTATATGTATACACATTTTTTACACACGAGTAGATGAAAGAAAAATATAATCTTTATTTGTTGTTCTATACACTATAGAATCAATAAAGTCGTGCGTAAATGAATAATTTATATTTGGTTTTTTTTTTTGTTCTTTTTGTTTTTAAATGACTCAAAATGAAACAAACTAATCAATATAGTTCTAAACAACAAAGTTTCCTAATAAATATTGTTGGTGCTATATATTATATAGATTCAAAAGCGTCTACTTACATAATATACAGTCTAAATCCGTATTTGAAAACAAATATTTCAAGCATTATAGCCCCCCTTCAATTTCAGTAAAGCTGAATTCCACCGCTCCTCATCGTCGCGCACCCCTCCAATTCGGGCACCGATATGGAGTTAGGTACTCGAGTTGTGCATAACGTGCGAGGCCTTTTTTTCTCTTTTCAGTCTCCAAACTACAATATTACTATCGTGAATAACTCTACTGTATACTATAGACAGGATGATTATTTTATCGCACCAAATGGCAGTTGTATACAAAACAATTTTAGGGAATATATTGTCGTACGGCCATATTATAATGATAGATACGAATGAATAGTAAAAATTGATATTGAAAAAAAAAAAATAGATTTGAAATTAATATACGTGAAAAATACTAAAGTGCAATCGAATAAGCATCATATTACGATAATATTACTATTGGCTTGGTGTGATGTTACCCGAAAAAGCAATTGACATAAAAAAAAAAAAAAAGAAGCTTATGCATGTAAACTACCTATGGTAATATATAATATTATTAAACCATTACGCGGTTTAAACGCCGTGTCATATTATAATATATTTGGCTTGTGCAGATCTATTATAATAATATTATGAAAATTATGATTCTAATTTCTAACGTGGTATAATTAAATAATATGTTTACTGAATTAAAATACAATTATACAGATAACGGACATATACGGTGAAAACCGTCCGAAAACAAGGAGACCGAAAAAGCGAATTTACCCATTTTTCAATAGGTTAAATTCGATTTTACTGCGGTGACCATTTCGAATACCCTGTTCAGCAGTTTCCGGTTTCGGACAATTTTTACCGTATCCGACTACGTGTGTAAAGCTAGTATAAATACATATTATGTGTATTAGATGTGTGCTATGTTAAAACAATAAACAAAACTAAAATTTATTAGTGTACGTTACCTTCGCAAGACTTTTATCTCGTTATCCAACGAGTCCTCTTTGCCCTTCAACGCTTTTTTGTCGATAATTTTCACCGCGTACATTTCGTTCGGGCGTTCCTTGTTCATGGCCAATCGGACCTCGGAAAAAGCGCCGCTGCAAACATGAATACAAAATTATGAAAATATTATACGGAATAAAAACGCTCAATATTCTATACTGCATTATATTCCCCACGAAATTGTACAACAAATGGCCAAATAACTATAACGCATCATGTGGGATTTTTCAATTTTTGTGAAAATTGGGCGGGTGTTGTTGGGCTCATTGCCGCCACTGATGGTGATTTTAATATATATATATATATGCATTACATATATGCATTGGTATATTATAATATTTATTAAAAAGAATGGATAAGTTATCACAAACGAAATCACTATTCGGTATGTGTAAGAGAGAAAGACTGTATTGACATGGACTGTTGTCTCTTCTAGATGAGGGCGTTTCGAGGCTGTATTCAAACTATGACAGCATATTGGTTCGCGATTAGCAGCTCTCATTTCAATGTAATTATAAAAATCGGAAAAAATAATATAAAATATTTTAAAATACCCTCGGTCAAAGGTATATCTTGCCGAGAGAACAGTCGATCTCTCTTCTTCGTTCCGTAACGCCGGTGTGTACGTTATAAGCGTGCGATTGGCCTAATCCATTATTTATTATATGCGGTTACACGGCTAGATAGTATAGACTTGACAGGAAATCTGGTATTTAAAATCAACTGAGTTTTCTTTTCATGAAAAATGTCAATATTTTTAACGGTGTCAATACACGTGTGCAGTTAACGATAATTGTAATACGTCAAAATGTTATCATACCTATAGACGATTAGTTACACAGCCTTAGTACAGTCGATCCGATGACAGTTTTAAGAGAATTGAAAATCGTGATATTAATTTTAATTTATCAAACGTAACAATATAATTTTTGTGTTAATTTACACCATTTTCAAAAATGGCCACCCTTTATATACCTCAAATATGATGTATTGTTACGTGTAATAAACGCGTGGTTTTAGATTTCCAAAAATGGCCCCTTTTTTTTCATATTTCAACACGATGATATTATATACTTCACGGTCTGGAGGCGAGTAATGAGTCAGTATTGTAGCCCGGTTTCGTTTCATTCTTTTCGATGGGGTTTTAAATATTTCAGCGATACCTACCCGAAAAACGACCGCATTCACACAGACACGATGGCGTTTAAAATTTGTTCTTCGTCGGGGAACGCTTAACGGGGATTGTAAATGAAAAAAAAAAAATACACACCGTCGTAATCGTAAAACTAACAGCGTTTTCGGTCCCGAAGGCACAATACAAAACCACGTGGAAATACTGCAAGAAAGGTTTAAAATTCACAGTCCTTCCCTCCACTCACAATCTTCCCATAGCGTGGATTCATGTAATATATTTAAATAAAAAGCTAAACACTGTTCGTATATTTTTGCAACTAAGCATCCGGGGTCTATTTTGCGTAAAAAAAAAAACCAGACACGGAAATTTAAATATAACAAAAAACAAAAGGAAACGTTAAAACCGAGTTCAGAATCGTTTTTTATTTTTGTTTACGATGATTTATTCAATTGCATTTAAACTAAATTACTCCCTCCTACCTTACTAATTTTTAACTTACACCAGTGGCTGTAGGGTTTAGAAAAATAATGCTATCACAAGTATAATATTTTCTTGCATTTAAACAACAAAATCAATAGATAATTGTTGGGTACAATTATTACAGATAATATAATAACAAATAAATTATACAATTTTCAATAACATAATATCTACTCCTACACTTGAGAGGCTCAGAACCATTCCTTACAGTACCCACGCGTACTTTGGAACTATCGGTAAATTTTTATGGAACGCCAACATGGCCAATTCATTTAATCGATTCGAATGAACAACATAATATTTAGTCATTAAGTACACAATGTTCTCTAGCAGCAGATAAATTGTAATTATAAATATGTTTGTAGCACAGCATTCCGCAAGTACGTTTGAATCCTCTTTAATGTAGAGAACGTATTGTGTCCAGGCGTAGTAGTCAATTATACGAGTAGTGTGCATAATATTTTAATAATTATTATAAAAAAACGAAAAAAAAAAATAGGCCTGCAATGTGAGGATTTGACACCCGGATCTCCTCTCCTCCTCATGTCCACGCCACCGAACATAATATACATTCCAGTTACATTGGATTTTATAATTATGTTACACGTAAACACGAGGTGTTTTTGATTAATTAACGCGCGAAATACTCGTTTTAAATTATTTATTTCAGACGGGTTTAAGTACAACGGCAACGGTTGGGGGCGAACGGCTGGTGTAATTCTTCGGTGTAGTAGCTAGGTACCTACGCGATGGCATTCCGGCGGCCCAGTATTCTCTGCGCCCTTTCTCTTATATTAATCCCGACGAAATATCGCCTGCTCGAGCCGTTTTACACGTTCGTACCTATTACATATACCTATGTATAATATAATATACGACGTACCTTATCCACGTATATTATATCACGTGCGAAATTTACGACTACGGATATTGTATCATTGCGTTGTTGTAAATAAATTATATCATATGACGGCAGTTGCACGGTCTGCGGGTATGTACCTACACCCAGAGCTGTGTTTCATTTGGGGCCCAGAGGCATCAATTTTCAAACACCTCCTCTTAAAGTCTTATCTGGTGATGATTTACGGGGTTAATCCCCCCAACCAACGCGTTGGTTTCTTTTACACATTTATTAAATATGCATATTAAAATTCCGACATTTCACCCCCCACCAAATAAGATTCTTCCTTATGACTCCTGAATTTTTTCCGGGCACACACATATCACGTCATTAGGTTGTTGTAATTGTGCTCTTCTAATCACCAAACAATATTCATCATTATTCAGAGCAAAGATTTTGAAAATAAAGCAAATTACAAATGACATAATAATTGTGATATTGTTAATTTTATTTCGAGTTATTTTATTGAGCCGGCGTTCCATAGTTTTAAAAAGGTTGACATCCCCAGGAAAATGCCTCTATTCTCCCCCCCAACCCTTTAAGACGGTCTTGCCTATGCTTTAAAACGTTAAAACATCGTAATTTTAGCCAACATTTTCGGCATACGGGCGGGTAAAACCAAAATGTAAATTAATATTTCATTATATACTAGTGATCAATCAGCTATTTTCGAATACTGTGAAACGTGAAACTCGTAATAAACACACATCATCTATATAATATTATTATTCTTCCAACTATTTGGCGGTGTTTCATACATTTCCAAAGTTGTTCGGGAATTGAAAAAAAAACGGTCCAAATAACCGAAAAAGGGTTTTTTCGAGATAAATCATATAGAATTATGGGTACTAATTCGGTCTGTGCTTTACGAATTATAATCGTTCTACACGTGGTCTACAGGATTATTGCGTTATCTATAATGTTCATATTGGAAAAATAAAAGGAAAGGGATTATAATATAACTTGAAACAAATAAGCATCCCTTACAATTATCGAACTAAACGTAACCAATGATGAGCTTAGTTTTTCGATACCTCCCTTACACAACTTACACAACATAATTCAGAGATTTACGAGAAAAAAAAGCCTACTTAATATCACTGCGGATTAAGTGCTCTTCGCAACTTTGGCATTTTAGCGATGTTGGTATACTCCATTTGTCAAAAACATTCTAAGCTCTTAACTTTTATAAATAATATTAACATAAATTTATTATATCCGAATTATGTGTATCAACATTCTACTTATATTTTTGGAATTTTGATAATTTTATAAAATTCGTAGTTTTTGGATTTAGGCGAATACTAGATTTTTTACACAAGACAGACAGAGAACACAAATTCTGTGTACAGGCCACTTAACACATATTATAGAGTACAATTATCTGATATACTAGACACTGTTATAATGAATTATAACAATCGACATTTCACCGGTAATGAGTTTTTGCTCTAAGCAGACGATAATGTGGCAATAATAGAACATTGCAATTTTAGTGTATGCAGTAAATGTCCGAATACTCGTGTAATTTTAAATACTCGACAATTTCAGAGTAATTTAATTTTGTAATCGATGCGACACAAAAAATTAACACTTACCTCTCTTACCAATACTCTCCCAAATCTAACAATTTCTATTATTTGTTTTAAAAACGGATTGTCGTACCATATTCACGTATATTATTTAGATCAATATTCGAAATGCTTACCCATCAAACGAAATTTCATTAAGAAAATGTAATCGAACGATTAAAAAAAACTTCAAAGTTATAAATAATAATACTTCTAAGTGTTTTATTTTTATTGTTGTACCTATCCACGTATATTTTTAGTCGGAATATATCAAATGAATTGAACAAAGCCTTTTGATGAATTTGCATAGCGTTAGTAGGTATCCAATTCAGACATCAAACGTATAATAATGAACACAGTATTATTTTATCATCTTTTACAGTTGTGCTTTAATTTGAAATATATTTTTTCATCTTTCTAATTCAGTTTTAGTCACGTTTTTGTGAAACCCGGTCCATATGATAGTAATCATACGATAATATGATAGCAGAGCCGTACCTACACGATACTACGTTAGTTACTTTTCACAAGAGATAGCATCCATGCTGCAGGGTCGTCTTGACAATTCATGGGAATCGGGACGGAGATAAAATTATTGTGGTGCCTATATTTCGTTTATCATAAACAATAATAAGTACCATTCAATAATTTCACATGAAAAAAACCTGATATTTTTTTTTCTTTTGTCTATCAACTTGACTTTTTTTATTGCATTTATAAAAACCCGCTTGTTTTTCCTTAAGAACAGACCTGTAATAGTAGAATGGAATTTGAAAGAATTTGTGAATTTAAATAGAAACATATTTTGTGAAAGCGATTGGCTAATCTTAAATAGCTGGAATGAAAGCGAAGAAGAAGAAAAAGAATACATTTGTAAGTGATGTCGTCACGGAAGTAAAATAGAACGACAGTTAAATATGTGATGGTTACTATCAATCTCAAGATAGAAGCTATCGACTATCGTTCATATAATATGATGCATTGATAGAAAATTCTTTGTATTTGTAAAGAATGCATTTTATAGGAATTTAATATTTAAAGTAATACATTGAATTCATTCATTTTAATGGGATGGTGAACGTGAATGTATTCAACCTGCAACAAAATTCTAGTGGTACCAATGATTACTCAATATACAAAATAAACTTATATTATACACGATTTACGTATAAATTTACTCTTTCTGTATATGTATTAATTGATTATGACAATCATATATATATTTAGCACAAGATAATTTACTTGAATGAGGTGGTAGATATTCGAGATTAAAAAGTGATCTTTATTTATATAACTTTTTTATTAATTATTATTGAAATAAATTGATATTTTATTCTCTAGATAAAGTTGTGATAAAGTTATGAGTTGATAAATTTAGTTTTCATTACGAAGAGTTTCACGCTAAATCTAACTCTTTTCGAGATAAAACACTTTTTCGACATAACGTCGCTGACAACCTATTAATCGTTATTCATAAATATTTATGGAATAGTATAAACCGAAATATACTCAAAGAACATTTTGAAAATTTTCGTATTTCAGCGCAGTTTAGAGCTGAGTAAAAAAAAAAATTATATTATTATTATAATATATAGGTGCTGTTTAAAGAGAGATGTTTGAAAAGTGTGCTCATGAATTTTAAACGCGGATAATGTTATCACGCAATCGTCGAAAGACTTTGACTGATAACTTATATTTGAGTGCCAAAAACGATTTTTCTCCGAGGTCTTTATAACATTATAATATTGTAACGAGTTTAATAATAATAATAATAATAAAATATTATTAATAGCATTATAATAATTCCATATTCTGTTCGTCAAGGGGTACTGACGTGTCATCGACGTCAACATGAACAACTAAACGAAGGTATTTAAACGTTCTCATAATATAAAAATAACTATCGTCAATATTGATGGTTCCGATTCGACGAGTCTTTTGATGAAGTGACGACCCTTTACATTTTTGGAATTATGCGCAGCTTATTTTTTTATAACCTGTTGAATATTATACTGAAAGTTATATTATATCCTATACTACAGTATCTTTGCATATAATATATGCAATCTTTCGATTATAATACAGCCAATGCCGCTTATAAGACTCACGAATGTAAAATTCATTCGCTTATAAGACTCAAAATCGCTTAGAACTACCAGGAAGTATCCAAATACGTTTTTTACAAAAAAAAAATTGATTATAAGACTCACAACTTTGGTCAAAAGACTTAATTTTCTTAAAAAAAAAAAAAATAGTAGACAATGTACATTTTTGGTGAAATCTTGAAAAGTTATATGTTGTAGTGGTTTCAATTCATATCTTATCGCAACGTTTATCGTAATTATCGTTAAAGTAAATTAAAGTATAAATCTATTTCCGATAAACTGGCACATTAATTGCATTTCACATTTTCGTAATTTATACCGTTTCAATTGTTGTAAAATCGGTCATCAATGCTTGAAAATTTAAAAGGAGATAACATTATAAGTTATACATCGTGGTAAAAAAAAAAAAAAAATTAAGTAAAATGCAGAATTGTTTTCTTTTATAATAATTTTAGTATCAAATTTTTACGAAAATTGTAAATATGGAAAATGGTAACGAGTCAAAAAATGTTTTATTGATTATATATTTTATTTGCTCGATTATCACTAAATATCAGTTAAACAGGAAACTCCATATTACCTAAAAAAAAAAAGGTCATGGGGTGGATCCATCCTGCATATCCCCCCCTCTCCTGTGAGAACGCCCTTGATGCGAATTATGTCAGTTTTTTTTAATAAAGAGTATATAATATTTAAAACTGAAATATTAAATAATATAATATAATGATATGT